CCTCACACATGAAAATAACACAAAACGATCTGAGTTTCTTTATGCACACTAAAACGACATTTGAAAGCACAATGAGGGTACCAAAATATCAAAAGAAAATGAAATCAATTAACATTAGTGAAACACAATGGCTGATATTCTAGTTCAGCCACGTAGCATACTTAACTAAGGACATGTCTACACTGGTCAATTAGGTCAGTTTGGAACTGGTTTAGCTGAGAGGATGATTAGACTGACATTTCTGGAACGGCTTTGAGGTCAGGAAGGTAATCACATTAATAATGGAAGGTGGCTTCAAACCACTACCCCCCCTCCCCATTTCTGGGAGAGATGTGTGCACCCGTGCTCCAGAGGCATAGGAGTAAAAAAAGGAAAGTGGCAGTTAGGAATGGAGGCAATCAATTACCTTTCCCAGGATGACAATGAGCCTCCTGCTAGCCAGGCATGCCCTTGGGATATTTTTTTTGGCAGCCCCCTCTTTCCAAATCCTACAAAGCGCTTCAGCAAGGGTGGGTGTCTACAATATGCTTTGCATTCTGAAGAGCTGATTTTGCCTTGGGATTGGGATCTGCATTGGGATCTGCTGCAGCGCATTAAAGGACTCAACTCAAGACTTTGCTGCAATTTGGCTTCATAGCCTTGATTTATGCTGCAGCATGCATTGGCTGCATTCATTTCATAACCACTGCGGTTTCAAGTCCGTTTGAAGCTGCTTGAAATGATCAGTGCAGATGGGGGCCTCAGTAGGGTTTCCTGGCCTGACCCCAATCCCAGTCCTTACTTTTTTTCATGTCAGGAGCGACTTGAGAAACTGCAAGTCTCTTCTGGTGTGAGAGAATTGCCCAGGGTATGCCCAGATGTTTTACTATCCTGTGGGAGGCTTCTCCCATGTCCCTGCATTGGAAACAGGAGGTGGCAAACAGGAGCTCACCCCACTCTCCAGATTCGAACTGCCACCAGGGGCTCCAGTTCTTACTAGGCATTATATGTTGCGAAAGGGGTCTGTTCTCCTGTTGATTGAGATGGAGCATGCTGGATTTCCCACTATCCACTTGTGCATTTTCTCGGGTTCAACAGTCAGATGATCCCTTGCAATTCCAGAGATTGCTGGCTGGAGGAGGACATAAATGTCAATCTCTTGGGCACCAAGAAACAAGAGAAAAGACCGTAACTGCTTGCAGCCACTGCTTCCTAGGAACTTAGAACTGGGTGCATTTAATGCTACTGAATATGTAAGGATTCTGAATGCAAAACAGTTGAGCGTGTAACTAGGTTACACATTCATAATTGTGAATTCCAGCCCCCCCCCCCCAAATAGCGGGATCAGAACTAGTGTTGATTTCCCTAGAAAGGGGCCACGGTGGCACAGCGGGTTAAACCGCTAAGCTACAGTACTTGCTGACCGGAAGGTCTGCGGTTCGAATCTGTGAGACAGGGTGAACTCTCATTGTTAGCCCCAGCTTCTGCCAGCCTATTCGTTCGAAAACATGCAAATGTGAGTAGATCAATGGGTACTGCTTCAGTGGGAAGGTAACGGCGCTCCATGCAGCCATGCCTGCCACATGAACTAGGAGGCATCTACGAACAATGCCGGCTCTACAGCTTAGGAATGCAGATGAGCCCCCCCCCCCCCCCCAAGTCAGACTTGACTAGACTTAATGTCAAGGGGAAATCTTTACCTTTACTGCCGTAGAAACAAACAAATTTGGAGTAAAAGTCTCACATCTGCCTTTCAGTAGGGGCAATTTCATACATTACCTGGAGTGAAATCTGAGTTTTGCCATCCAACTTATAATTTCCCTGCTTAGTTTACTTAAATAATGGTGTGCAAACACGTTTTTGACTCACACACTCTTCATGTTTGCATGAGTGTTTAAAAATAAAACAATTAACTTGATCCACAGAAAGGGAAGTTCATTGCTGAGACTCCCCTCTTGGGATTCTGAGTGGGTTGGAAAAGTCTTTTTCACAACAAACTATCTCTCCTCCATTGTGCTTTCATGGTTTACAGATTATGAAGAATCGTTATAGCTCTAAAACTGTCACCAAAAATTGTGTAAGATGGGAGGCTTGTGTCTCCAGTTTTTATTCCTGCATGGGAGGAGAAGTAAACAGTCCCTTCTAAATAATTATGGAAGGCATAGACATTTATTACCATGCCGAATCTGCCAACCTTAGATGGATAGTCCACTGCCACCAACATAAAGATAGGTGGCTAAAATTAAATGTCCTAGTAAGATTTGTTTTTGCATATCAATTACTTTCTTCCCATGTAAATCAGCCTCAATGCCACCAACCTATCTGCATCTCCCATGCTGGCTGTGGTTTTAAAAAATGCATTATCGTATGAGACTGCTACACTGAAATTCTCTCTCTCATTTTCTGACCTTTATTTGTTGCCTTTTTAAGGTGGTTGTAAAACACAATAATTTCGTTTTTGAAATAATATTTTGCTGTCAAGAAAAAGGAAGGAGTGTGAGCACCCAAATGTCTGTGTAATGCCTGGAAACCAGCAAAAACTTGCTAAGAAAAAACCCCTCCTTCCTACTCTGAAAAGATGAGGTCTTCTTTTTTTTACATGTCTCAAGTTTTTTTAAAAATTTCTGCTTTGCCTTTGTCTTGGCTTTGCATGAGTGTACATAGCTAAGTTAAAAAGAAAAGAACCCTGCCAAAGTCAAATGCATTGTTATTCAGATAAGGTTTTGGCATCAGAACTAATTTGCCACGGGAGTAGGCTTTAATCTTGTGGATCCTGTTATTTTTTATGTGATTTTTTTTTGTTTTGTTTTAACTGGATACTTATCATTACATTGTTATAAAGGCAGAACAGACATTCAATTAAAATTACAATAAAATAAAGAAAGCGTAGTTGGAGAGATTGTTAATTTTTTTCCCTGTGTCAGCAGCAACTTGAGAAACTACAAGTCGCTCCTGGTGTGAGAGAATTGACTGTCTGCAAAGACGTTGCAGGGCATGCCTGGATGTTTTGATGTTTTATCATCCTTGTGGGATGCTTCTCTCATATCCCTGCATGAGGAGCTGGAGCTGACAGAGGGAGCTCACCTGTGATCTCCTCAGATTCAAACCTCCGACCTGTCGGTCTTCAGTCCTGCAAGTGCGAGGGTTGAAAGTGATTAGATCTAAATCACGGTATTTCTCTTCTTGATAACATACAATGTATGCTTTGCTGCTTCTTCACTTACACTTAGTTGGTTACCAAAAGGAACATTGGTGTTCTCCATGATATGTTCATCTCCAGCAGATACGGGATGGACATCTTCTTTTTAAAAACAATTCTGACATCAAGAACCATCTTCCCTCTGACCATGAGAGATTTCCCCCCTTTTCTTTTGGAAGGACACAGTGTGACCCTGCTCTTTAATGTCTTCTCTTTTAATGGGTTTGAAACTTGCCAATTGAATTTCCAGCCACCAAGGCAGCTGCTAAAGGGAAGCCTTTATTACCTATTTCCTGGCTTGGAGTTAATCTCTTTCAAGTGAACAGCCATATTATCCAAAGTAGAGGCCTGTTCTTCACATCAGCGATTAATTAAATTGTAGTCTGTAGGGTGCCAGCTGGCCACTTTTGCTTCTTAATAACCTCTTGCTAACATTGGTTGTTTAATATGGGATTGGTTCTCGGATGGAGGGATGCCCCATAAAGCATGTGATTAATTTTAGTAACACCGCCTTTCTTTAAACCAAAGGGAATTAAAAAAAGTTTGGAGTGCTATACAAGTCAACAGACAACCTAAGCCAGCCAAGACAGGTTTTCTTCATCCATTTTGTAAACCGGCAGTGGCTAACATTCTGTCAATGAGCGACACATTGTAAGCCTACCTTACTATATTGCAACTCACTTTTTAAAAATCATTGCATAGGTCCAATCTCATTATGACCAAGTATGGTAGGGTTATGCAGTTAGTTGTTCATCGGGAAAGCCTGAGATTTTCCCATAAGAAAATGATTGCCTTGAGGCACGGTATACCTGGATCACAAGCAACAACTGTACAGTGTGGCAACCAAATAAACTGAAAAGGTTTTGGAAATCATGTTCATCTTAGTAAAGCCATAATATATTTATACAAATAACATTATTTTCCAATACAAGGTTGGGTGGTATCACCTCTTTATGGCTGGCTTCTTTTTGGTGCAGCTTAACTATATTCCTCGACCCTTTTACTCTTTTAATTGTGGATGTCATGGCATGCATATGTCCACGTCTCCTCCAATATGACCAGCTTATGCATCCTAACATAGATTTACTAAAACATAGAGCAGATTTTGAGTTGTTGCCCCCATCCCTGCCCCAACCCACACACACACTTGGTGGCATGGAAAATAAAATTGTGAGCAATGTGGACATATGCCCTACCAACGAACAGCTTTCTGCATGAGCCATTTTTCCAACCTGTCTGTTATGATTTCATATTCTTAGAAGCACATTTGTGGATAACCCAGGCTATATTTAAATTATTTTGACTACAATAAAGGGACTTAAAACCAGTTTAATTTTAACTTTAAAGGAGAGATGTATTTCTGGGAAGGTACAGAACTAGGTCAATATAGCTGTCAGCATCGCCCACTGACCCTGATTTGAAGGAAGCACATGACAAGACAGTACATTGAAGAGCTATGTCCTTTCCCCACTCAGTCCAAGCTTTCAATGGTAGAGGTTCAGGAGCAGACAGACAGGAGCTGAGGACATGGCTGCTCTGCTGCCTTAATACCTCTAATGGTACAAATATCCTGTCTGTGAGCTTGTTTAATCCTCTTTTGAATTATGTTAGAGCACCAAATTCTCACAGCATCGAATAACAGCCGGAGGATATTTTGAAATCATCCTTAAGTAAATCTGTAAAGGGTTCCTTTGGTTAAGTCCTTCTTACTCAGTGGCTTGGGACCAGTTCTGTTAAGGCGATATGCCTTACGTTTAACAGATTGCCATTATAGCACAGTTTGTTTTGAGAAACACAGTGAAAGCCCCAGAAACCGTTCAAATTGCCTTTTGATTCTTTATTAAAAGGACCCTATGTTCCAGGCTCAATCCTTTGTAAACCAGGCTTTGAAAACAATGTGCAAATAAAGGCATGGGGTGAGGTGAGGGTTGCGTAAAGGGCATCACTATATCCCTAGCACTTCCAGGAAAGAAGGTCATACAGGTAGAGCAGAAGGCTCCCATTTTCTTTTCCTCCCCTCTTTTCCTCGTTGTTCTACCACTTTTTTTGTTTTTTGCTCTAACCCATGATTCTGCCGGAGGGGAGGGGAGAAGATGGCCACCGCAGATCTTGGGGCTCAGTAGGCACTGTGTGTGTATGTGTATTCATGGTCTGCTAGGCCAAAATGAACAAACAAAAAACTTCCCACCTACCTCCTCCATAACCTTGTGCTAAAATAGAATTCAAAACAAAACAAAACCAAAAAATTGAGGGAGGAGGGGGCTACCACTTTGAATCCATCTCACCACTAGCAGTCCCTCCCTCCTCCTTTGTGTGTTGTGAGTTGTGAAAAACTAAAACAACAATATAAAAGGGGAATTGGGGACAAACTCTCCTTTTCTATGGAACTGAAGAGAATGTTTTGTTTTGATACCACCAGGAGGAGAGAAAACGCTGCAGTGGGGCTGAAGTACAGCCCACTGAGGTTATCCTTTCTAAAGCCAGTACCTAGAGGCCGTGCAGCATTTAAATGGTCAAGTTTATATCCTGTCCCTGAACACCCCCTCGAATTGCACTTGAATTGGATTGGGGCTTCCCCCTTTCCTTTCTCTCTTCCCCTGCCCAATGAAGTGAATGGGGGGAAAGAACCGAGAAGACGACGGGGCGCTGAGACCATGTGGGGTGGGGGTTCTGCCTTGTGGCTTGGTTTGGCTGCAGTGGCTCAGCTCTCCCACAAAGCTCCAGGGAAGACACTTTCTGCTGAGGTGATACAATTGGAATTCATTAGCTTCCTTCTAACTGTTCTCAAATATAGTCTCCTATCCTCACCTCAAAATATACAAAAAGAAACCACACTTTCTTTAGTCAGCACCATTCAGTTTGGTTAATGTTTGCAAATGTTCCAACTGCGAGCAGAAGAGCAAACTGGAGGCAAAACTGGCCTGAGTGCCAGAGAGGTTGTTCACCAGCCTACACGTCTATTGTTCCTTCATTACAGCCTCAGAGAATGTGGATCCCTTCAGTGTTGTTCCAGTTCCTTAGCTCCCACTGCTATCATGATATAGCAGTCTTGCTCTTCCACAGGCCAGTTGCTAGCCGCCTGGAGCGTATTCCTGTTGGCCAGTCACTTGCACACCGCGCTTGCAGGTCCTGCATTAAACAGCTCTGATTGCAGCAGTCCAGCTGGCTCATGTTTATCGCTTGTAGAGCCCAAACCCGTTCCCCTCCGAGGAAAGCTTTGGTTGGAGAAAAGAAAGAAAGAAAGAAAGAAAGAAAATGCACAGAGACTATTTGAGAAATGCCAGTTCACCGTTTCCTTCCCTGTCTGTGAGTTGACCTGCAAGGAGGTGGTCTGCAGTACCAAACGCTGCCTTAGCTTTGGGGTTCCCAGTCTTGTACCCTGTTGCCATCCATCCATCCTTCCTTACTTCCTTCAGCACTAGGCCTGAGGACAGAGCTGTATCCTGTCTTGCTCCTGGTATACCATTTTCAGACAGGTAGTTTTTGAAGAGCACTGTGAAATACTAGATGTGACAGCAGCAGTCAATGGTTCCAAACTCAGCTATGACTGATTGTCTCCCACATGATCTTCTCTTCGTCTCTTAAAAATAATAATTCTGGACCAAAATGTTCTTCATTATTGTTATTATTAACTCCATGATTTTATCTTCTTAACCATTTTCTCTCTTTCTTCTTCTTGCCTTTAGAAATGTCAAACAAAAGAAGAAAACCCAGCAATAGGAGCTCTGGACCCAGGGGCAAGGCTACTGGGAGGGCGGTAAAGGGTGCTCTGCTGGCTGGGAGGGTTGACTGGGGTTTGTGGGGTTGGAGTCCTACTGGATTTGGGCCGAAAGAGACTGCCCTGTTGGGTGCTGGTGCTGTTGGACATTGGGCACTGGTCCGGGTCACCCGAGTCACTCTCTGTATAGCTGTAGGCCTGAGCCCGTGAAATGCCCTTCTGTTGGCGTCTCCATGAGTTGTAATACGTTGGATCACTGATGTAATGGTTGACAAAGGAATGGGCTTTCTGGTGGTTTTGCTCCACTTCATACTCACTGTCACTTCCCTATGGAAAGAGAAAAAGGGGGACACAAATACTATTATATTAATGAATTATCATATGGAGGAATTAATTGGCTAGGTGGACAAAACTACCATGAGAAAATGATTGTGCAATGCAGCCAACCTCCATTGCATTTTCTAACTTTTTGACCCACACTTTGTAGGGCCTGAGCTGGGCTTACTCCCTTGGGTCAAAGAAAAGGATTTATATAAGACTACCTTCTCTGATATCAGTGTTCCAAATCCATAAGTGTATATGAAAAAATGGATTGATATCCACAGAAGTTCAAACAAAAAAATACCTGGAAATGTAGAAATTACAAAAAGAAATATGAAAAGCGAAGAGTTGGCTCTATTTTATTTCCTTATTGGGCTAAAATAATATAACAAACAAACATATAGAAGACCCTGTCAGCCTTAATCTTTATGCAGCTGGTATCACCTAGCCGTCCCCAACATTGAAACAGTGTTACAAATTTTAATCATTTACTACTTTCTCAATTCACACCTTAATCCCATTCCCTGCAGTTTTTGCCTCCTGAATTTTTCAGCTCATTCAACAGTCCTGACGTTTCATGTAAATGTATATATGGATAATGTAATTTAAAACCATCAACATATTACTGATACATTTACCATTTAATCTTTACTTGAGTACTTAAAAATCAGACATATATGTCTTTGGGTATTAATATAATGTCTTTGGGTATAATGTCTTTGGGTATTAATTTAATAAGATAATACTGAAAAAGTAACACCTCTCTACCTCTAATTCCAAAATACATCTTTAAAGAGTAACCAAGTATTTCATCTATGAGAACATCTGCAATTTTTAAAAAACCCTGAAGTTTGAAGCATGGAGAGAGAAGAAAACTGGCCAGGGTAGACTTGGCTCATTTCCCTCCTTTCAGCTCCCCTCTGCTCTCCCTAATTGAATTCAGCTTCTCCATTTGCAGAAGCACAATAGGGACCATTCATGGGAACCCAGCACTCAGCCAAGGAAGCGATCAAGTGGCGGCTTTCAACTAGTTCAGTTCTCAACAGTTCCTCAAATGTACTTGCTGCACCAGAGGTAGAAGAGAAACAGCATGGGAAAAGGAACCACATCTCCTCAAGTTATTGAGAAAAAAGGGTTGGGAGAGCTATGGTGTCAAAGCATTAGGAATAAAAACTGAATGTCAGACATCTCCCAAATGGGAGAATTGGAAAAATCTGCACCTTCCCTTTTTAGAAACACGGGGCTATAGAAACAAGGCCAGGAATAAAATAAAACAAAACAGATTGCAAAATCAAAAGTGAGCCTTCAAACACATCTGGTATGAACTCTCAATCCCACACTCCCCTCTCATTTTTCATATGCATATAATGTATAAATACATGTTTTTCCCCTGTTCATAGTTAACAAAATTCATTGATGATAGAATAAACTGTAGAATTTCCAGTCGCCTTACTTTACAGGTAGGACAGCCACTGATGGATCCTCACACAAGAGGGCTAATGGAGACAACCAATGACAGAACTGTGCCACTTGTTGCTGTTCTACAGTCTTCCAGTACCAACTGGCTGAATATGAAGCATGGCTCAAAATTTGTTTTCTCTCTCTCCTTCATTCTCATGTTTGTCAGGAGCAGTGATCAGCCTTAGAAAAGACAATTGCCCCTAGCTGTCCTTGTGGCTCAAGGCTTTTGCCATGACAGCAATTCATCGAGCTTGCCTAATTGCACTGGGGATGCCAGTTGAGGTTCAGGCCATTTGGCAAAAGGTCTGTTCTTAAGGAGAAGACAAAGGAGCCATTTTGCTCTAACCTGGCAGGACTGCCAGCTCCTGCTAGTCTCAGAAGTGCGAGTGCTTGTTGCTACTGGCAATGAGGGCAAGTGTAAGAGAGAGAGACTAGCTGTGAGGTTGCATGTACCCTAGTCCTGGCATTTATAAGGCAGATGTTTGCATGCTTCCACCACCCTGCTTTCCAGTTGGATCCTCTGATCATGACCCTATTCCAGAAGGATGTAAGGGGACAAGTATAATCCAGATTTGTACAAGGCAGGCTGTCTGAAAACTTAGCCCATCCAGCTCATGGACATGAGTGAACTTTTTTTTTTAGATTAGCACCTTCCTCAAAGAATGCAGACTACAAATTTCATTCCTTTTTTTTTTTCATCTGCTCATATACTGCTCCCTCATCATAGCCATGAAGAGAAAAAGCTACAGAGGGCAGGTCTACAGTGATCTGATTGATGGCGAAAGTCATGAAGTTTTCAAATCCATCTGCTCAATAAAATGTTAACGTTCCATCTCTTATGCTACACATGGAAGCCACATTTAACAGCAGTAGTTTCATGATGCTATGGATCATTCTCTTGTAGCATAGAATCATTGAGTTGGAAGAGACCTCATGGGCCATCATGTTTAACGTGTCCTTATATCCATCAACCTTAAAAGTAATTATCCAAACTCTGTTGAAAGGACTGCAAGCTCCATCTACAAAACTCAAGAGATAAGCCTCTCTTGCATGTGTATATATACACATATGTATATCTTTCTATACTTCACTCTGATATCTCTTTCAATTGTCCCAGCCCTCCACCACTAATTTGAAGGGATGTATTTTTCCTGAATATGTTGTAAAAGTTGATCAAACCCTTGTTTCTCCATTAAAGGCTTGCCAGTTCTTGAAATAAAGAATCCTGACATCTGAAAAAGGATGTGGAAAGAGGGACTTCTCTCACAAGTTGCCCAACAAATTGTCCATGCTGCATTTTTCCAGGTCTGTTGGCAACCTTAGTATGTGGGTCCTTCACATGGAAGACTTGGACTATATGATTCCACTCTGGAAAAACCTTCTGTGAACCTCATTTTATTAGGCAGGGATAACAGACTTTCAAACACTTGGTCATTCAATATCTTTTTTTTCTGACTCACATTCCTTCAGCACTAGAACTTACAGGTTCTGACAGGTTTATAAAGCATAACGAAATGAATAAAGTTTGCCATGTATCTGGAAAGATCTGCTGCAAACATGTAAGGTATATAATTTTCCACCTTAAGGCAGGAGGCTCTGCTCACCTAGTATCAAATCCCTGGGTTTTGTTGTCCAATGATTTTTTTTAATACCGCTAATCACCTGGAGTCAAAATTACTTGCATTCCTAAAAAGTCACTTTTGTGCACACAAAGATTTCTGAATATTAAAAAATCCCTATTTTGAAATTACAAAATGTGGCGATTTATGTTGCCTCCCCATGTAAAAAAAGTGAGCTGAAATAGAGTCCAGAAATGATGTGATTTCATGTCATCTCTGCTCCAAGATGTAAGACGTGCCCCCCTCTACCTACGCAGATACCAAGCTTTGCTCTATTTCAGTCAAAAGCTTCTCTAATCCCAACCTCCTGGTTTGTGACTTACCTGTGAATCAGAGATCTCTGAAGGCTTTTCTGTAAGGCTGCTGCTCTCGGCTGGAATGAGGTCATTGTACTTGGTAACATCTTCATCTGAGTAGTGCAGGGAACCAGGGCTAGGTCTTGGTGGGGACCTAAGAAATGACACAGAAGCTGTGAAATGGTGTTCAGAAGGGAAGGTGCCTATTATCATCATCATCATCATCATCATCATCATCATCATCATCATCATCGTTATTGTTATTGTTATTATGATTAGTGTGGGAGAGCGAAGCGCTCCTCCTTAATTTCTTTTCTCTACTTCCTCACTGGCCACCCACTCCCCACTGTTTTGGAAGCCTTGGCTACCTTGTATATATTCCATTTTTCCGGCAGAAAGAGTTTTTCACTGACAGGCGACGGTTGTTCAGTTCCAGAGCAGGAAAACTGCTCTCATCCAGACTGACCATCTCACCATGTCCGAGTGCATTCGACTTACAGTTGCCTCCTGAAAACAACAATATCAATCACAAATAGCTGAGGGAACAGACTTGGGCTTTCTCTGTTGTAAAGCCAGTTGCTAAAATATCTTCCTAGGGAGAACAAAATTCATCAGTTTGTTTCATGCTTCCTAACTATATGGGAAAGGATACTTTAAAGTTTAAATGATGGGATGAGGGAGAATGACGACAAAAATGACAAGATTTAAGGAAAATCCTATGAGGCAAAAGGAAGATCAGGTTTCTATCACTAGGCACAGAATTCTGTTGCTTCTGCTCAGAGCAAGAAAGGCATATTGTTAAGTGCATCTGCAACACTAACGCAGAAGAGCGTAGTTTACTGTCATGCATCATTTACATATACTTTATGCCCTAGGGCAAGGGTAAGCAAAGTATGATCTATGGGCAAAATGCAACTTTTTGTGACTTTTAAGTAAGAGCCATGGGACCCCTGAAACCCACAGATTCTCCTGGATTTTAATTTGCTGATAATTGGGAGATTTTTTTTTGCCTTAAAACCACACTCGATTTCCTAAAAGGCAACAGTTTGTTTCCTTTAGTCCAAAGAAGTAATTTTCCCAGTGCTGCAAACTCAACAAAGCCATTCTGAGGGTCTACCTCAGACAAAGCTATTCTACTTCAGAATAGCTTTGTCAGTTTATAAAAGAGTAAACTATGGTCAGTTCACATGTAACAGTTCTACAACATGGTTATATCACAATATAGGTAGGGTGAAACATAGGTACATCATCATACATTGAAGCTGTATCTGCTTGTTATAGGTGGGTTGGAAACTGTTACATAGGTGCACATAGTTATACAAGCTCACAGAATGAAAATGTGCTACAACATGAGGCAGACCTCCAAGGGGAAAACCGTGAGTGCTGTGCCACTCGTCCTCAAATTTCACCCTCAAGTTTGTTTGTTTAAGAGGAAGGTCCATATTTTCCTGACAATTAGAGCAAAGCAAACACTGCTATATTCCCTTGACCTGGTGACCTTTCCAACTTTGTGGCTGCCTCTGGCGTTGACTAAAGCATGAAGCCATTTATTTTAATTGCCAGCTTGGCATGATGTCGACAAGGTCATTGACTTTTCCTCCCAACATTACACATTCAGACACTTGAGAGAGTATTTCTTAAGATGGATCTCAGAGTGCAAAGGACAGTTCAAGCTACATTTCCCCATTTATTACTCATCTTCACAACAGAAAGCAACTGTTCCCTTTCCCAGTCTCCAGAGGGGAGGAGCCAATGTTTACTGGTAGGAAGAATGACTGGACTCTGAAATACTAGTTATTACCACACTGTAAGTTAGAAGTATGATCAAGGGTGAGGACCTAGAGAAGGGCCTAATTTTCTACCTTTCTAGGCCCTCTGTGAGCTGCATCCCCATCTGAGTGTGTTAATATCCAGTTTTCCCTCCACTTTACCTTCAAAATGGTGAAGTGATGGGTCACTTCCTGTTATGAATTTGAAGGAGAAATAGGGGAAGAACAAGGTATTTTAGAACAAGTAGGAAGTTCTGAAGATTCAATAGAGTGGTTTGGTATATTGGCATGGATTTAAGGCTATAGGCATGATTTGGGATTTATTGCTTGCCATATTGTAGAGGGGTTTTTTTCCAGGATGTTATGAGGATTGATGGGTAGAATTTATGGTTTGCAAATGTGGGGTCCAGGGAGAACATGTCACCCATGTGCTGCACTTCCCTCACCCTTAAGAGTAGATGATTGCCTTATGGAAAGAGGCTTTACAGCCAGGAAGTAGCTGACAGAAGGGGTCTTGTTATTATTGGTGAAGCTGAAAACAATCCTTTATTATGTTGAAGGAAGCAACCTTCTCTGTTTTATTAGTATGTCATTTTATAACCTGAAGTATATATATATTTTTAGTTTGCAGTTACCTTATCTCTATATTACTAAAGCAGTGGGAGGGGCTGCGGGTCATATGACTGACTCAGTGATAGTTTAGAATGTTCAGTTTTAAATAGGATGACAGAAGTGTAAGTTAAGCCTTGGGCCTGTTAGAAGTCTGTGTTGAGCCTTGAGTGAGCTTGAGTATAGAAAAGAGTGCAGAAGGCCGTGTCAGGAGCTACTAAACTGTTGAGGCTTGTGTTTTCTTTAAAAGTAAACTCTTATTAAAGAGAGCTGCATAAAAATAAAAAACAAACTTGTTATCTTTAAAAGAAGTCTGCTTGCATCATTGTCTGCTGAAAGCATCAAATAGAAACAAAACATCTATGTGCCCAGCGATCATCCATTACCAAATAAACTCTGCTAACCCGATTAGGTTGTGATCCTAACAGTTCATAATCTATATCCCGATAGGTTGTGATCCTAACAGATCATGGTTCATCCCAATCCCCAGTATATTAAAGCCCCCTCAACAGTTCGATAATTTTATTGTCCTAAAATACAGCAGATCTTGTTAGAAAAAATGAAGCCTTGTGGATATATTGACACCTACCAGAGTCTGACTTCTTAGCATACTTCTTGCTCTGCCCACGGATTATAAGGACAAAGACCAGGAGAAGGATGAAGATGAGTCCCACCAAAGCAATGACCACCAGGAACCACCACTCTTCATAGAAGGGATTGGCTTTCTGAGCTGAAAAACAGCAGGTGGCATGGAGCAGTCAAGGACCCCTCTCAACACAAAGCTTCCTTATGCTTCATTTATGGTGTTTCCCATAGCCTCAGTTTAGGGGTTATTGGGAAATGGCAATGAGGCAGGGATACTTTACCTGAGACTGATGGGGAGGGAGCGCTGGGTGTCCCATAGCCATAGTCATTGACAGCAATGACTCGGAAGTCATAGCTGACACCTTGCTTCAAAATGTCCATGCTAAAGGTGTATGAAGTCACTTCTTTGGGGATATCCTTAATGAGAATATCCCAGAGTCCCTCATCTGTAAGAGAGAAAAAGCTATGCAATTACCATAGCAAAGGCATTCAATGCATAAACACACATGCACACCCAGATACACCAAGAACACAGGACAATCATGTTGATATCCCAGTCTGGTGGCCTGGTATTGGCTCCATCGAGGAACACATAGGGCCAGCTATGCACACTTCCATTGAAAAAGAATAATAATGACAAAATTAAGAGACTAGCAAAGTTTATGCAGTTATCCACACCAGTTATAAGATTGAACTGTCAAATCACCCCAAATATAACGGATCTAGTTTGATTTTAAAATCTAAACAAAGTTATGTCTGGTTAGTATTTGAATGGAAAAAAGACAAGGTATCTCCAAGCAGGGCCAGGAAAATAAAGCATGGAGAGCCACTGGGACTAATGATCTCAACCAATACTAGATATTTTATGTCTTCATGCACACATCTACAATCCTTAATTTTTAGATAACTGAAAAATCTTGTGTAAAGTATATTATTTATCGTGTCAGAAGCAAACCAAGGGTACAGTTGTAATGCATTAAAAACACTAAGTTTAAAAACTATATATAAAAATATTATATATATGTGTGTGTTTTATTTATTTATTTCTGGTATTTCTACCCCGTATCTTCTCTACCCCCGAAGGGGGACTCAGGACGGCTTACATTTTGGCAGCGATTCGATACCACTACAAATAAACAATTACAATAATACAACAACCATTAAAATATATAAAACATTAATTAAAAACAGTACATAAAGCATTAATTAAAACAATAAACAGTATCATCAGCTGTCACGCCATTCCAGTCAATTTCCAGTCAATTTCCAGAAAAGAAGCTTTAACTCTAAAGAACAGTTGAACAACAAAAGAAGGTCTAAATAGTCATATGAATTTTTTTAAAAAAAGAAGCATATTATGTACAGAAAGGTTTTAATTAATTGTACATATCTGCCATTGGTGCCAATTAAATTGAACAACATTGTCTCTAAAAACAAATGGTCTCATATGAATGATGATTTAATTTCAGTTCATGGCAGTTTTAAGCATGGATCACCACACAGGCAATAGCTTTCGGGGAGCAACACATTTCACAGGGCATGGATAATCTAGCTACCCGATGTAGTACCATGAGAAAATAGTTCATCGCCTTTGTTAGCCATAATTTTGGAAAGAGAATGGATCAGCCCTTCATCTACCATTCTATTGAGATTGGAAGGTCATCTCCCATTCTGAATAAAATTAGCATATATTTATCAATCATGGTCCCCTAGAAAAATGGACCTATGTTCACTGACCATGTTCCCCAGACAAACCTAACATACTTTGATCTATGATGGTCTTCCAGACAAAGTAATATATTTTCACCCTATTTCTATTAGTCAAAAAGAGGCTGATGACTACCTGTGGGCCATCGTCCAACCTGCAGGGGGTTGAATGATGGCCCACAAAGCCTCTTCTAACTTTATGATTCTATGACTTTGTGATTCTATTCTTCATATTTTTCCTAGTCTACTTATAGTACTAATATATTTTACTCTAGTTTGTTATCTATATTGGATGAATCTCAGGAAATATTGACATGTGATTAAAAGGCATCAGGGACTGAGACAGAAGGCTAATTGAGGACCTCATGGAAAATGTAGCTAATAAAGGTTTTTAGGAATAATAATGGACAATATAGATGGGTGAGAAGGGAGGTCTAACTACAGAAAAGGAACAGGCAGAATGATTTAAGATACCAGGAGTGAATGCTTGGAAGAATAAATATTCAAAACAAAACTATCTGAAAGATGAATTTCCACATAGGTATATTTTGGAATGAAAATCCAGATAAGAAAATGCACCTTCAATCACAGTCCATTTCACATAAGTCACTCAAAGTGCTTCTTGTATGTCCTCCCCCTTTCCCTTTCTATAAGTGAAACATATTCTATCTGACACTGCATTCAACGAAGCCCCCCCCCCCAATACTATGTTATATTATCAACATTCACAAGAATGGCTCAAAAATGTTATTAGCAAAAACCCTTTTCAATGAACAGCCCGAGTCTTTCAGTACATATGATGCCCCAGGTTAAAACATACAGGATTTAATGGCAATTAGAAGACTCCGTACAACACCATCTGCTCTGTCCCATAGTTTCTGAGAGACAGTTATTCATTGCAGTCTCATTAAAAAGCAAACTAGTGTCCTTTTCAAAGCACCAGAGTGATTTATCCCCTTACATCTGCCCCTTCTTGGCCTGTGGGCTCATTGATCATCCCCTTCCCAGAGTTATCACATTTGAATGTGGAGCAGGCTGAGTGTTTCATGAGTACCCTCTTGGGGACACAAATCCTCCCCTAAGCAAAGCACTATGCTGGAAGTGACCACTCTTCCAATAGTTGGCCACTTGGTGTTATAATTTCTCATTTAGAGACATAGATACGGAAGACCTGACTCACATTAAGATCACATGTTGGGACGGGAGCTCATATAGTCTGGATGCACATTCTTTCCAGCCATGTGTTTACTACCAGCCCACAAAAAGTACCCCCCTCCCCCCAAGATTATGACTGGGATGCAAACACAGAGTTCAGGAGACCACTGGTGTTGCAAAAGAACTGCTAATATGCTATGTGAATTACTCAAAAGGTACGGAATGTATGAAAGACCCCACTGAAGAGGCTGTCCATGCAACTTGTTTTGGCCTCCTAGCCTCCCACTTTGTCTCTACTAGGGAAAGGAAATTCTTGCCAGTGGCTGCAACTGGGCCATTATTCAATTACTCTGGGGGCAGAATTACGTGCCTTCAAAGAAAATATCTCAGGAACAATGATTCATTATGATGTCTGCTGGCACAAGCTTGTAAAAATAACATTTTGGACAACAACTTCTGGAATATCTCAGTCAGCCTGACTATATGATTCTGTGAACTGCAGGATTCTGGGGATGGTAGTCCATAAATGCATTTTCTCAGTCTCTGTTGCTGGTAAAGAGATAAGGAGAAAGAGGAAATCCACAGCAACTCAAATGATCTAAGATACTGAAAGGAATGTTAATTAGGGGGAAAATCACAACAAAAAGCCACACAGGTGAACTCCACAATTTCTCCATTAGGCTTCTTAGTGAGTGTTCCTATCTCATTTTTGACAGTGATGGGTGAGGTTGGTTATAGCTATAATCATGCAAAAATACCAGATATAGTTTCCTCTGAATACTATTAGTTCTGAATCTTCTGTGTTGGTGGACATGATTTCTAGGTATTCTTAAGCAATGAAACCTCCTGCTTTGCAAAGTAATAGTGAGTTGTGATCTAGAAGGACAGTTGGATTGAAACACTATACAGTGTCATAACTCTAGGATAAGGAATGCCAGTGTCAGAGAAGGAGATATGAAGTAAGAGCAGAACTGATACCTGAAGGACGTGCCTCGATAACGTATCTGGTGATTGGCCCTTTGCCTGGGTCACCACTAGACCAGTGGATGGTGATAGCTGAGCCATACCTGGAGATGAAGGGCTCACCTGGCGGTCCTGGAGCACCTGGGAACCAAACCAAAAGCCAATGTCAGTGGAGAAAATGTGCAGTGGGACCCAGGCTCAAAGCAGCAACATTCTTCAACCACTAATGTCTTTTGGCAACTGTCACTCCTCAAACACTTTGCCTGTAAGAGCTTTTAAATGGAAGCCAGCTGTGTTGATTGCATGTGGACTTCATCAGCACACTTTTTGTTAGTCTCACTAGTATTAAGGGGAGGATTCATGCGTAGCTGATGACACAAGTAAACCCTTACATGCTTTTTTCTTTCTCAACTGACAACCACAGAACTTGCCTTTTCTATCAACTACCATTATTACACATCTTCCTGAGCAGAACAGAGTTCTTTGTTTGACTATTGTCTCAGAGTTTGGAAGAGCTGTGTTTTGGACTCCTTTTCTAGCATTCCAGAAAGGGGAGGTTTGGGAAAAGGGGCCATTTTTCATCAGCTCTGTCTGATCTCCACCATCTCAATTTCATAACATTTGATGCCTAGATCTGAATAACCCAAAACATGCCTACAAAAAGAATATGGGTGGTTTTATATGGTAATCCACTGTAGTTGCTAATTTATCCTTGTTAGTAGTTTGTAGTTAGTTGTGTAGCACTTCTCAGATGATTTCTGAATATCCAGGAATAACAAACCAAACACAATCCATTGGGTTATTAAAGTCTTTCCCCTTTTGCATGGATTAGTCACTAGAAGGAGAGCTGAGTGCAGTAATATAAGACTACTATCAAGGAAAGGCATTTTTAAGAACTCAAATGTTTAATGTCACATGACAGGGTTCCACTTGTTCCAGGTGAGTAGCATAGTGATTTGATTTCTGGAATGGGACTTTGGGAGACAAAGGTCTAAATTCCCACTTAGCCATGGAAACCCATTGAGTGTTTTTGGGCAAACCACGCTCAAGAAAGCTCGGGCTGGACTTTAACACAGCAGGTTAACCTCCAGCTGCAGAAAATCTTGCCAATCAAAAGGTTGGCAGTTTAAGCCTGGGTCGGGGTGAGCTCCTGGTCATCAACCCAGCTTCTGCTCACTTAGCAAATGAAAAACAGCAATGTGAGGAGATAAATAGGGAAGGTAATAAAAGGTGCCCATAAGGACATGGCAACAATTCGATAGAAAGGTTGTCTATGGACAACAAAAACTCCTTGGTATGGAAGATGGAGTGAAAGCACCTCCCTGTGGCCAGAGTCAAGCACAAACTCCAGATGTCGGAGATGGAAATATATGGGAAAAACCTATAGCTCAGCTTATGTATTGTCTGTCCTTGTCAATTGTATAACAACAATGAATGTTTGCCCAAATATGTGTTCTGTAATCCGCCCTGAATCCCCTTGGGGATAAAGTATATTATTATTATTATTAGTAGTAGTAGTAGTAATAGTAGTAGCGGTAGTAGTAGTGACAAGCTCCCTCTTAATAACTTTTGGCAAGCAAATGGTTTAAACACTCAGACACACATTCAGCTTTGTGACTATTGTGAGAAGTCATTAGAAAAATAAAACAATTGTATCAAAAACACTTTTTAAAAATCAGAATTTCCTAACTCCTGTCTCTACCAGAGTACATTTTGATTGATTTTGCATGCCTTCCTCACTCCAAAGTAGCCTATTGTGCACATTTCATCAAGAGTTGTGATACAGAAATTTGATGACTTTTTTTTTTTACAATAGTTAGTGGGAGAGATGCCCAAGCTGTCCCTTGGATTTGCGATGATGTACAAAACTTTCTGGAAATTGGAAACTAAAACTAGTTTAATTTCCCTCTTTTTCTCTCTCTATACAGCCTTAGTTTAAATTACTCTGCAGTATCTCATGAATATGTTGTAGAGTGATGAATGAAGGTGATTCCCCTCCCAGTTTCTTCTTCTACCTTCTCCTGGGCCTGTTGTGATATTGGCTTCCACTTCTGGCCCGTAAGTGAAAGTCTTTGCTCGGATTCGAAACCGGTATGTGACTCCTTCTGCCAGGTCCTTGACTTTCAACCAGAGGGGGCTGTTCCCTTTCACGTCCACTGTAACAATCTTGCTGACACCTGAGCAACAAGGAGGCAAAATTTAGCAATCAGGTACTCAAATACATTCATATTTATTTGTCCTTATAGGACTTAAACTGCAGCTACGTTGCTGTGATCAAAGGCCAAACCTCTGAGGCTTAGTTTCCTTCTTGTGGCTTATATTTTTGCTTGCCCTCAGAAAGAGGCTTTGCAGTGCAATCCTATTTATGTTTCTTCAAAGGTATGTTACACTGACTTCAGAGGTAAAATAAACCTAAGCCTTTAATGGTAAAAATAATTTCACCCAGATAAGTATTTATAGAATTTCAGCATTAATTAATATAAAGGAGTGGGACTATGATGCTGTTAAATCAGAATCAGATTATAGGATTAGGAATGGCATATACCAGTAGCTGTGAATCAAGGCAGCGGGGCTATTTTTGCATTGAAGTTATTGTGCTTCTCATTAGTATTGTATACTTTTAAAAGTAAAATATTACTTTATAGGGAGACAGAAAAATCAGGTTATCATAGAGAAACAGAAAAGACAGGAAAAAAATGTATCACATCACTTTTATAATAGGAAGAGTGCAAACAGCTGAAATATACTGTTTCTCATTCCAATATTCTGAAATTTCAATTCCATTTTTTTATTCCAACACTGCAATGTAACAATACCCTAACAAAATCCCTTAGACCTGTCACCAGAAACCCAATTTAAGTGCAAGCCATAAGCAATTTAAAAGTGCCTTTGATATGTACAGCACCATTTTCCTTACTATTGGGAACCCATAGCCTACCTACACACCTGAGGTTAGGAAGTATGATTTGCACCTCAAAGGAACTGAGTTCTAGGCATCATTCATCTTGCTGGAAATTAAATTCTGAAGGTCATGATTTAAAACAGGTCCATGAGATTACTGGTGCTTACAAGTGCTTTTTGTTTTAACCAATTTACAAATCTAGCCTTCTCAAACCACACACTTGCCATGTTTAGACTACAAACCACATAATCCGATCCTTTGAGCATTTTGGCTAGAGATGATGGGAGCTGTTCTCCAACACATCCAGAAGGGATTGGGTTGAAAAAGGCTGAACAAAAACGCCACATACACAAACACATACATAAACAACCTGCCTCTAAGACGCTCACCATCCACAGGCATGCAGGGCTCATAGATAAGACGGTAGCCTTCAAGGATCCCATTGGGGAAGATGGGTGGCTCCCAGGACACATTTACAGAAGTGGTGGTGAGTTCACTGAACTTGATCGAGCCTGGGGAGCTGGGGGCTAGGAACAGAGAAAGGATTAAGTCAGAAGAAGGGAAATGTGTTCCATTTTTTGTGTTATGTTTCCCTATGTTCACCATGGTTTTCTCACGGGAGGTAGGAGATCCAGCCATCCCAATCCTCCCAAAGGAAGAACAACCCTTGAACAAATGACCTTCTGCATGGTGAATTGAAGGCAGCTGTAAAAGAAGATGCATTGGCAGGATAGGAAACACAATTATCTGGTCTGAGCACAGCTATGAAAGGGAAAGGACAGAAAAATAATGATTAAGAGTTTCAAAACTGAAATATACAAGGATGAGAGAGTCCTGAAGGACTGTAATCCTCACTTAACCAAAATTTCATTGTGGGGCCACAGGCCAAGACATTTTACAACGTACCATGTATGTTGAAGAGAAATATCAGGGCCAGAGCATTACATTAAAAGATAAAAGAAGAACAGCTTGTTGCCAAAACCTGTAAGCCAAGGAAGAGATTTACTGGCGTGCCAACCACATGGCCAAAGAGAAACCAATGACATCCCTCCTACAAAAAGACTGAGAGCAGTAAGTTCAGAAAAGCATTCTCCAAAAATACAGGAGTAGCAATGTAATGTCCTACTGAGAATCCTAGAAAGGAACAGGTGAAGCATCTGAATGTGAAGCTAGATTAAGATGGTTGGATCCTATAAGCATTTTCACAAATTTTCTCTCCCTGGTCTGCATGCAAATTTGTGCTCTTTTGTTGAAGATTCCACTGTGTCCCGGTGAAGCACCAGGCAGGTGGCGATGCTAGACCAACAGCCATGCCCTGTCAAACTCAAGGGATGGATTAGTTTGGGCCTGTCTTGCCTGTCTCCCCGCTGGCATGACTGAGATTGGAGTTCTAGAAACAATAACACCAGTGCTCTCCCAATTTCACTCACATTGGAGCTGGGGAATGAGGCTGGGTGGTCAATGCTCCCCTTGTGTAGGTTAGGAGCAGGAGGGCAATCATTTTCAAGTGTCTATTTCTTGACATCATATACATGAAGCTCATAGATGTACATGTATGGTGCCATCAACAGCATGGGGACCTTTGCCACAAAGATGCACCACTGGTCACCCAGCCTCAACTAAACATCTCATATATACTTCTTGAAAACTATGGAGAAGCCGTTACCCTGCAAATGTTGTTGGGTTCCAACTCCCACCAGCCAATATAACCAATGGCTACAAAACATCAGAGAATGCATGGCATCCATCCTGCTCATTGCTGCCATGTCCAATTATTTTATTTTGTAGTGTGATGCTTCGAAGCCAGTTGCTGCCACAATGCAATCCCACAACAGTTTCAGAGCAAAATGATTAAAAAAATGATATTAATTGCATTTGTCACATCAGTAAGCTGCGGAGTAAAGAAAGCACACTACTGGAAAAAAAATATCTTTTTTGGTACCTATTTTTTTTTAGGAAAATTAATTATTTCAAAACTGTGCTTACAATTTAAATTTGTCTAAGGATTGAATAACGCACACAATCTGGCTCATTTGAAGGGATAGAAAAGACATATGTATTATTTGGTAATAAATTTGCCCAGGTGGAGAAGGGCTGAGAGTATTGCTTCACCTTCCACGATCCCATGCTCTGCTTCTGGTTTCCTTGACAACCAAAGCACTTCAAATGCCTGGTTTATCTCCAGCTATAGTTACTGCCCTTGAAGGGCCATGAAAGTGGTGTGAAAGGATGAGTGGGATTGACAATTTGCCCTGATGGCAATTCAGAGAGTAGGTCACATAATCAGGTAAAAGAATTGCTAGGGCTTTAATCTGACTGAGAAGGGTTGAGATGTGCTTTTTGGAATTTGCTTTTTGGAACACATAACCAATTCCTTCACGTCTAGCTACTAAAAAATAAAGGTATGAATACTGAGATTGAACAGACTATGTGCATCAGAATGCAATTACTCACAGTAAGTCAGGAAAGGACAAGAAAGGCTGCAGTCCTTCATCTAGACCAGTGGTTCCCAAGCTTTGTTCCTTCAGTTGTTTTGGACTTCAACTCCCAGACATCCCAGCCATCTTACCAGCTGTTAGGAATTGTGGCAGCTGAAGTCCAAAACACTTGGAGGAGTAAAGGTTGGGGGAACCACTGATCTAGACTGGGCTTTCTTTGCTGTTGGAAAGATGAATGAAGCAAAATAGCAAATGGGATGCCTTACCCAGCCAAAATGAGATGTATAGTACTTAAGCCTACCCTAGATAAATTGGCATGTGATGCAGAAAAATCCCACAAGCACCTTCTCTTTCAGTAAAGAATAACTATCATATCCCAGCCCTTTCATGGCATCCACTATTCATTTCTGTAGCAATCCCTTTATTCTTCCTAATGGCTAGGTTGGCTCTGTCATGGAATCAGGTTTGTCATATCATTATCCACAATAAAGGAACGATCTCTGTGAACGATCCTTGAAGATTAGCAAGCAAGGGCCATGTTATTGGGAAGTAAACTTAACAAAATAGACTATGCATCCGGTTAAATTGCCTACTCAACTGGCCTCTATCAGGATTATATTTTTTTTCTTTTTTTTAGCTAGGATTTCTAAGATTTTTAAAAGCAACAACAGTAGCACATTATGCAATAAAAACTGTTTGCAAATGGACAGCATCTTTAACCTCCTTTCTTCTCACTAAGACTATTAACAAAGAAGGCACTGTGGCAAGTTTTGAGGCGTAAATCTATTTTCTTTGTGGTGTCAGTATGTATGATTGGTTGAGTCCATTCAAAGCCTGTGCCTTGAATCTTCTGCGCTGCAGTTTTGGAGCTGAGCAGGGGGCCTACAAAGAGGGGAAATGGGATAAAATATCCCAAATGGCTCTAGCCAAATTCCTTGCTGTGAGTCTTCTCTGGTTCCTTTAAGCTCTTGCCAAGAATAACCCCAAAGATCCAAGAAGAGGGAAGCTAGTGAGGCAGAGCCTGAATGCAGACCCAGCTTCCTCTCTGAGCAGCAGGGAGTGAAAGACACAAGTCCCAAACTTCAGCACTGCCCTTGGCTTCAGGAGGGATTCACTAGCAGCCAAAGTCATTGGTGGTGGGCATGGCTAATAAGCCTCTCCTTTTTCCTTTCTAGCTGGGCTTTGATCTTCAAACATGTGCATTGAAGATGCTTTGAAGCACATGGTTGGAAGGAAGGGGAGGGGAGTAGGTGATGAAAAGGAACAAAGGAAATGTCTGTTGAGGACAGAGCACAGGGGCTCAGACTACAGAGAGGTATGTGTCTTTTTCCAGGCATCAAATGCGGCCTGAGGTCACCAAGTCAGTTATTCTACTGGATCGCTGCTTGGCATTTGATCAGTCACACTCAGCAGCACGATCCAGCTCAATGGTCAGGATTTTAGTCAGCAAGGTTGAGACACACCAGCTGCTTGAGACTGGAGCACAGGGGAAGTGGGCTGAAGGATGCAAGTCACAATTCAGGCTGGCTGAGAAAGCAGCATAGTCATGTTGGTTTGTGGTGGGATGCAAATCTCAAATTCAGAGGAGCAAGATGGAATCAAAAGGGGGGGGGGCACAGAGGTGGAAAAAAAGTATACAAGATATATATACACCTATGGTTGATGTAACGAATTGAGGATGGGATATAAGAGTATTGAAGGTATTGATGTATCGATGTATTCTAAGAAAACCAATAAAAATAAAAAAACTCAAAGAAGTTACCTTTTTCATCTGTAAAATCCCAATGGACATACTAATGGAAGACTTGGGAGATATTAACTCAAAGTATGTTTCCAGGCTCCTTAAAGTCTAAATTAAAAGGATGCAGACTTGGACACAGGGCTGAATTGCTAAGTTAGATTGTTGTATTTCCAAAGAAGAATCTTCTGGACATATGTGTAAAAACATAGCCTCTAAAATTGAAAGCCCAGATGTTTTCAGACAGATCTCAAACAAGAATATGTTTTGCTGGCTGTTTTTGAATTAGTGTTGCCAGTGATACTAACTAGATGGTACTAGAGCATTTTAACCATTTATGCTGGATAAAAAATGACTTCTCAAGCATCTTTCCTGCTTAATTGCTATTATGTGAAAGAAAAGACCTCTCCCCTTTGAAGATCCAGTGAAATCCAAGTGGTTGATGGCTCACCCTTCCCTTTCCATGCATCCTACCTGCTTGCTGGGTCCTCCCCTTGATAGGTGGACTGCGGGGTCCATCACCTGCAGCATTGAAAGCCAGGATGCTGATGAGATAGGCAGTGTAGCCAGTCAGGTTCTTTAGTTTGACACTATTCTCTGGTAGGAAAAGTGTCTTCACCTTTTCAGTTTCATTGTGCCGCTGGGCCTCTGAGAAATAGATCTGTAGGATGGGAGAAAAGGATGAGAACAGAGGTTATGGTGAAGGAAATGCAAAGAAGAAAAGAAACAATTGGGGATGGCATAATAGCTCTTGTTTCATTCTTTGTGCTCATCAGGTGGTACTTGCAGAGCTGCTTTTCCAAGATGTAGGGATATAACGATTGTCCAAATTAATTCTTTCTTTACCTGAAATAAGACCCAATCTCTTACGAGTCTTTATATGATTTCACAATCTGGAATCATTACACAAAAATCAAACCAGTGGTCCACAGCACATTATGCTTTCAACAATGCTTTTACCTCATTGGCAAAGCTGCCCTCATGGATATCAGCCAGCATGCCAATGACTTAAATCAAGGAACAGCTTCCTAATATCTACTGTAAACACGTGACAGTCCAAAAGTGGCAGGATAAAACTCAGCTGAGACCAGATGAGAAACTCCCTCCTGGGCACAAGAAGGGTGGGCGACTTGAAAGGTGCTGAACAGGCTGTGCTCCGGGACCATGAGGTGAAGCCAATATCAATATCTGAGGATGCTTGCCATAGATGCAGGTGAAAGGTCAGGAGAGAATGCCTCTAGAACATGGCCGAAAAAACCTACAACAACCCAGCTTTCTTGTAACTGTCTTCCCTCCACTTCCCTTCCAGTATCAGTAAGGGATTGAAGTTGGGAAAATAATGTTGGAAGAAAAGGTTAAGTCTCCTTCACTAGCATTTACTTTTAACCAAAAGAGAGAAAGGACAATGACATTGGGATATGTGATTGATAAGTTGCTTATCTGTAACTGTCTGTTTTTGAGAACTCATCTATTAATTCATACAATTGAGCATTTTTGTGACACATACAGTCTGCACCACACACCCAGAAAAAAACTGGAACATCTTTACATTAGTAGAGGTCCGATTTTGCATGCATATTTCCTGCTTGTATCTTTTTTCAGATGTCTCGCCTATACAGGAACTTTGAAAGTTTGTGCAATTTGAGCTTTTCTGAGTGATGCAGAAAGGAGGAAGGGAGAGCCAGAAGGAGAATACGTAAAGTGATGATGGGCTGCTGGTGATACTGTGTTTCTATAATAAGTTGAACTGATGCTGACCTGTAACACTATGTTCCTAAACAAAATGAGATTAAGTATCTCAAAGATTATTTATTTTATTTTGCTGAGAATCTTAACAAGGGAGACAAGCTCTTTCTTTTTCAAAAGAAGGTACAGATGAGGACATGCTCACCCCTGAACTAGACAAGACAGCACAGGCAAACCATTTTCACTCTTGGCTCATGGGGATGAATTGGGAAGTAATAACAGTAGCTCTGAAGTCACTCCTGGGCAATATCCAAACTTCCATCAAGAAGCTGCTAAACCATCTTGTGAAGCCATGAAAATAAGGCACCAAAAGGACAGTAACAATCAGGCTCTATGACAACATTTCCCAGCACCCTTACGGTCTCTTAGGAGACAGGGGAGCAACTTTCCAAAATTGCTGCCTCAGTGACTTGTAAAATGCCCCATTGATCACTGCTGGGGTGTGTGAAGCCAAGATGAGGATTGGTTGTGCAGAGATTCACAACAGGACAATTCCTTCTCCAACAAGGCATGGCTGAGTGTACTGCCAATTGCCAGAAGTCAAGGAACACAATCATATGGCTTTTTAACATGATGCACTCCCCACTACTGATTTCTTTAGCTTACTGATTCCCAGCAAAACTTTCACAGTTAAGGGTCTCAAAATTCAGTTGTTCATGAGAGGAACTTCGTTGTTCAGGGCAAAACACAGGAAGGCTTTGGACTAAATGTTTTCAGTCTTGTGACCTAAACATTTAAATTCCATAACGGGAAGAACTAAGAAAAAGAAAGATATAGTTTTGCATAATTTGAAAAGAACCAGCTGAGAAATGTAACATTTGTTCTCTTTTTATTGTTGCTTTTCATTTAATTGCTAGCTTTGTTAACAACTAAATTTTGGAAATAATTAATGATGAAAATCAAACCAATTTAAACATCATTGTAATTATATTTCCTTGTTTTGTTAGATATCCCCCATGTAATTGATTTAACAGATCAGTTACTGTTTCTGTTTGGCATATGGTTGGTTATAAATGTGTTCGAGATACTTAGATGATGAAAATAAATACATAAACAAATAGTTACCCAGAAACAAAAGTGTGCCAGAGAGTAGACAAAACCACAACACTCTATTTGAGGTTGAATAGCATCACTTGCTGGCAAAGTGTGGAACTACATTTTTTTCTGGAGCAGAAGGGTGGATATTGTTTGTTTAGTACAGCTGCTGCAGCTAGGATCCTATGATTATACCAGCCTAAATACTTTTAAAGAGGCATCCGTTTCTTCCTTTGCAACGCCTTTGCTCAAGTGCTCATGTGTGTAGCTGTGTCCACCTCCAGGTCCCATCTGGCTGTCCTCACTCCCCTGTCCAGTTAGTTCTTCCTCCCAGCTTATGTCTGGGTGCAGCCTCAAAGCCAGTCGGGGGAACAGAGAGGGGCAGAGCTGTACCAAGAAATGTCTAGCTGGCCCACCACATCTGGAGAAGCAGCAGCTCACAAGCATCATTGTATGTGTGCTGGTGGAGGTCTATGGGCCAGCTGAACAACTGAAAGGTATTCACATCTAGAGCGTTAGCCATTAAATGGAAAAAAATCAAGAGTATAATGTATAATGGACCCTTAATGGCCATTTAAAGACCATTTATTTCCCAAAGTCTAGGTATTTGTTTATTCAGCAACAAATCTTATATGTATGGCTACTGTTAAAACATAGACCCCCTTCTACACTAATATATAATCCACATTATCAAAGCAGATAATGCACATTATCTGCTTTAAATGGGATTATATGAGTCTAACTTGTCATTTAGTCCACTTCAAAATGGATTATCTGGATTTTATATGGCACCGTGGAAAGGGCCATAGTTGTCACCATCTGGACTTTATGCATCTCATTTCTCTTTAGCTCCATTGTCTGGAGTTTCCAACTTGTGCACTCTTCATATAGTGTTAGATTTCCATCAGCCCAAGCAGTCATGTCCATTGCTCAGGAAAGATGGGAGCATTAATAGAGCCACAAGCTATTTACTCCACATCACTATAAGTATTTCTCACATATTAGTCTGAATAGCCATAAAGAACACTGTGACTCTGCTTGTCAGTTCTTTAAACTGGAAGATTTGGCCCTATCCCCAGTCATTTCTACAAGATGAAAATTGGGTCAATCTTTCTCCATAGCCTAGAGTTCCCTTTGCCACCCCGCTGCCCCACCTGCTTCCTACCTTATAGCCTTGGATGTCGCCATTCTGTGCCTCAGGAGGTGGTGGCTCCCACGTGATGTCAAGCTGGGTGGCTGTAGTAGTTTGGATGGCCACGTTCTGTGGTGCAGCTGTGGGGACTGAAGGAGGGCAGAGGGAATGACAGTGAGGCAACACACACTGGGGAAGATGATATTCTTCCAAGCCAGAAATTGTGCTATTCTGAACTGGATATTTATCCCTGACAATGCATATGAGTCACAACCCTGTCCATGTTGGGATCCAGGCCAACATCCCCCCTGTTGGGAGAACTCTCTTTTGTGTGATTATAGGGATGGGTTATGTAGGTAATAGGAATATGATTTACACTAGAACTGCAAGGCATACATTCTCTTCTATATCAATGAATGGAGAAAACTGAAGCCTACATTTTAGCCTTGAGTTCTCAGGACAGAGCAGGCCTGAACAACAACAACAACAACACTGCAAAACAGGTGACTCAGCTTACCAGCTTCCCCAACAAAGACCTCCTGTGGTGAACTGGTGGGCCCCTCACCCACAGCATTGTAGACAGTCATTCGAATCTCATAGCGCCGGTGTTTGTTCAGATCTGCAGAAGAGGCAAGAGATAGAGAAGGACAAATATTAACAATGGAGAAGAGGCTACCTTTTAATCACCTGATTCAGGATAGCAGGGCACAAGTTTCGTGCTTTATAGCTTTCATTCCCCTCCCCCTTTTCTTGCTTCTTATTGGACACCCCTCCAACAGTGACACAGTCGTATTTTCTCTCACAATCATTAAACTAAGAGATGATGCCAAGCTAATTCTCCAAAAGAAGGTGGAACTGAACTAAGACTGTAGTTCACTGCTCAACTTCCATGATGAAAATAGTTGATATAAGTCATTTAAAAGCAAATTACTAGCGGTGAACCAAAGCATGCCAATATAGTTTCCTCTAAATTGAAATTATTGATGGGAAATATTTCCCATCAGCTCCACTCATCTCTGTGGGACCTGATCCTTGTCATTTTGATGTTCCCAACTGTACCTCAAGGTTTGTTGTTCTTTCCTCTTACTCCCTTATTGAATAATTTTGCAACTAGATTGGAGAATCTAAACCTGTTGTTCCCATCTTTTTTTTCCACCAGGGACCACTTTGACCAGGGACCACTCTCCAACATTAGTATCAAAAGGGTTACAAATCGGTTTTTTGTCAACTTTAGATTTGGTTTATTTATTTGGGGTGCTTAGTCAGAAAACAGCATTGGATAGACCACATCAGCTCTAGTTTCAGATGCAGAACATATGCCACCTAGTAGTCACTCTGATTGCCACGGTGTGGTAACGGTGAGGCTGCGGACCATATTTTAGTTCTTGGGGACCACTGGTGGAAACCACTGATCTAAACTAACATGGAGACTAGCCTGAATGCTCCAAATTGTCTGTTCCAGTACACCAGAGGCCAACCAACTCCAGGCCCCACCCATTCAGGGTATACTATAGATCTAATTTTCTAAACTGGGTCAGAAGATGATAATCTGGGTTTGGAGGGTATTTCTGCAATTCATATATGGATAGATCACTACATAGCATGATTCAGACCTACTAGGACAGGGGATTTCTGTAAGAGCTAGAAACTAATTTAAGCTCTGGCCCAGAAGCTGGTGGATCCAATAATTTTTGGTACCTTTCTTGGCACTGAGGGCTTAATTGGCTTCTAGAGGGAAGAAATAATCTGAGCGGTTGATGGATGTGTCCCTTAAGTGTGAAGAGAAACCCCAAACACAAGCAGACACAAATGCACAGTCAATGCACACCCACTTACTGTCCAGCTCATACTGTGTGAGGGAGGCCTCGGTCAAGTTCTTCATGGCATAAGTTGCTGTGGGAGGGCAGGTGGTCAAAAGGGAAAAGCAGTCAATGCAGGTTAGCCACATATAAATAAACATTTTGACAATGCAAGCAGGATGAACAGACATCACTGATAGGAAGAAAGCAGCTAAGAAAGAAACCTATAACCACAAAAAAGAACATTGAGGAGTCTCTAACAAAGAACTGGGAAAGGGGACAAGTACCCAAAGAGAGGGAGATCAGACACAGGTGCCAAAGGAAGTCAAAGCTGGCTAGTGCCAACTGTGTGCATCTGGATAGCTTGACTATAGCTTTCATAATGGCTCATTCAAGCACATGTTGAAAGAATCCAGAGGAGAGAAAGTTGCCTTCCATGAAAGCGGGCACAAAAGTTGTCATAACAGGAGGGCTGAATGTTTTGACAGCCTGCTGGGATCAGAATTTTCAGAAGAAGCATGCACAGGGAAGAGATGCATATTAGTCTATGGTTTCTTTTCTTGGAAAGTTTGTAATTCTAATTCATTACTACAAGCAGTAATTTTGTTCTTGTAGGGAGCATCAGACTGAGTCCACTGACTTTTGCTAGACTGTGCTTGGTACTAGGGTCTGTAATTAAAAGGTGGCTTTAGCATGATGGCTGTAGTGTTGCTTGAAAACAATGGACAAAGCAGAGAGGTTTTGTAAGGCTGCTGACGGTATGGATTTTGATTGCCCCAGTTCCTACAGACCTCACTATGCACAATAATACTCACTGGTTAGCTCTGTCCATCTTGCGTTGGGATTGCCAATACTGCGTGTGGTGAAGCCCCTCATACCTTCGTAGGCCAGCTCTCGATAGCGAATACGGAAGCCGAGCAAGATGCCATTGATTTTGTCCTCAGATGGAGCCTAGTTCAGCAGAAATGGTCAACAAGTCAAGCTCTCTTCAAAACTTATGACTCTGCACACCTGGCATCTGTGACTGCCTTTGAAGACAACAGGTCCTGCATTACTATGCTGAAGAATTTGATTTCATGTCCCGTTGATGCCATTAGAAAGTGGCCTTATACCAGGGAGACAACATTCAGGGATGGAGGAAGTTGCCTCACTGGGTGAAATCACATCCCAACCCTACCACTGCTTCTTCAATATTGGTAAGCCATAATTTTCTTTTAGATGACAATAAAGAAGCATGTGCTTTTTTCTGAATTGGTATTGTACTTTTGGGAGAACTTTACTGTTTCAGCTTGAAAACATGGTGCTCTCTCTACACCTCATTTATAAACCTTTGGTGTTTTTTGGCCTGCATAATATTTGCTACCAGTAGAGTCTGCACAAATGGATAGGGTCAACCATTTGGATGCCTCAAGTCTTTTCTTTTTACCTTGAATAGTCAATTTTTTGTGAACGACCAGTATGTATGTTCCATTCAAGAGATTTCACAGCTATCTGTGTTGTATATACCTCTTAGGAACACACATACTAAATGAGGCTCTTTTCCTTACTCGACAGGGAGGGTCACTCAATACAGCTAAGTCAGAGGATCAGAATCCATGACCCACCATCAGTTGGATTTGCAGAACTACCCTTTGTGCTTATCATCAGACATAAACAGAAGTAAAGCATAGAAATCAACACTACAACTGAACATGCAAACTTAATAGTTCTGTCCTCTTTGTTTTGACCTTCCTAAAACCATAGATTAGCTAGAACACACTTCAAGATTTGCTGATTTCCAGAAATAAGTACACAGGGCACACCAGACCCATTATTCCCCAAAAATCTTTTAAATGGCTTTCCCCAAGATTACTGTTTTCCTACTGAAAGTTAAGAAGAGAAGTATGTCCACTCTACCTGCCAGCGGATCAAGACAGATGTGGTGGTGTGAGGTGTCACTGACAAGATGGTGGGAGCTTCTTCTGGGGCTGAGGGGAGACAAAAGATGTGGGTTAAATGAAGGGACAACCAATGTCTTGCTTTTTATTTCAATTATTTGTGCAGGATGCTGGGAAACAGCAGACTGAGGCAATGTGGCAGATTACAACAACCTTGGATACAAGCAATTACCATTTTATAGGATATTTGTGATTGTAAAGGGGGAAAGTAAACAATTTTAATGATGGAACATTTCCTTCATGCATAATAACTTGAGTTCAGTTTGTAATTAATTTTTATTATTTTCTGCACAGTCAACCCCATCTACTGTATATCATTCTATGATCTTTTTCCCAGATTGTTTTAGTTATGCTTAATATTTGCTATGTCCTCCAGGTAATTCCATGGAATACTTTCCCTGGAAGTTACCCATAGGGTTGCATTGAAAGACCTAAAGTACTTCTCTAGGAATCTCTCAGTCCTCCAATGCAGCCTTTATGATATATCATTCCGCCATGTCTGTGGTTTCATGTAACTACAATCTGGCTAATGCATTTCCCTCCATCCCTTGGATAAAGGAGTTTTGCTGCTGTGCAGACACAAACATTATGCATATCTTACAAAATATAGTACACATTTATATCCTGTCATATGATATCCTATATTTCTTTTTCATTACTGAATTAGTACATTAATGGATCAATATAGAATTGTGATTAGATACCAGAAGACAGATGAATTCATTGTTTTCCATTTCCATTTTGTGTGAAATGGAAATGATTGTTTTGAATGAGTTAACTATGAGTGTAATAAATACTCCCAGGTAGATGGGGAAAGATCATCACCCAGGCATGTATACCACAATGGCTTCCTTGGCCATATAACAACTTCCTCATTTTATTATGGTTTCTATGGACGAGAACAATATCTCCTTTTGAAGCATCTCATGATACTTTAGTGCGTCTACATACCAGCTTGTAGAGTGGTGAGGGATTCTGACTCTTCACTGTATGCGCTGTCACCAATGTCATTGGTTGCCTTGACCCGGAATTTGTAGCTGGTGAAAGGCTTCAGTCTGCAAGGAGAGCACAGGGTACTGAGCTTGGTTTTGGAAATATCCAGGATGAAAGCAAATTAGCAGCTTGTATTGCCCTCTGCTTCTCCAAGCAATTATTTCCTATCATTTTCACTCCCTATCCAACAAGCTCTTCCTAAAGACTTCAGAAAAATGAAGATTATTTAATGGTTAAATCTGATACCAGGCATAGAAAAAAGGGAATGGGAAAGCTTAAGAAAGAGAAAGTTCGCAAGCATAATAAGAGAGAGACGAATAAGACTTCTTCTAATGGGGAACCTAGCATGGTTCTACTTAGTGAGTTATTCACTTTTCATCCTGTTGTGCCCTGAAGACTGGGATCTAAGGCAGATACATGATTAAAAAACAGAATCTTGGATGATCCATTCCGAATCTAACCAGAGTAGATCAATGGCTCCCAACTTGTGGGTCCACAGGTATTTTGGCCTGCAACTCCCAGAAACCCCAGCCAGTTTACCAGCTGATAGGATTTCTGGGAATTGAGGGCTAAAACATCTGGGGACACACAGGTTGAGAACCACTGGAGTAGATGTATAAAATATGGCACCTTTCTTTTCTAATAAGTGGCTCCCTACAACCCATTTGTTGTTGTCTCACCTGTTGACTATGAAGGATGTTGTATTGTGGTTGACAGAGGCAGAATGTAGCACCCATTTCCCATCAGGGAGTTCCCGTGTTTGCACCGTATAGTACCGGACTGGGGAGAGACCATCACTGCCTGGCTCCCAGGAGAGTAGCACACTCCTTGCCTTGACATCTTCCTGCAACACAACTGGCTTGCTAGGAGGTTGGGGACGGTCTAGTGGAATAAGAAAGGCACAGGTCACCGAAGGAGGCAAGCATAGGATGAAAATAGTGGCAGTGACACAGGGACAGGTTTTATTATTTTTAACAGCCATATATTTATAGCTTTGTAGTTGTAGATAGTATGTGGCTGTGTAGTTTTAATTTTATCTATCTAAAAATAACTTGTTTGTTTTCTTTCTCTTCTTCAATAAAATTACTTTGTTAAAAAAAGAATGTCATTTTTCATAAATTTTCCTTCAAAGAAAAGATAATTTAGCAATTTTCTCCCCACTGCAAGAAAGTCTTAAAACGATGTGCAGTTTTTAAAGCCAAGTTGCGGTTTTATTCTGTATTAAATTCATACATAGCTATTTTGTGAAGAAAGCAAACAAGTTATTTCCCTCCTGAAAAGGGTGGGAGGAAAAATTCTAGAGCTATACCAAGCTTTTCTCTGACAGGAAGATAAGAGCAGGGGAAAGTGCGTTTGGACCACAAAAATAATAAAAATTATAAAGCCTCCCTGCCATTCTTCTATTTAAATTTGTAATCTCTCAAGTCTTTGAAATCTAATTTTAAAAGTTCCTGGGGGAAAAACCTTATGAATGCATGTCACGTATAATTTGGGATTGTGGTAACATGGTCTTAGATACCATGTTACCACAATCCCAAATTATACGTGACATGCACCTTGATACTGCAGTGTATATGTCCTTGCTTTGTATGTTTAATGTGTGCTCGGGCCACTATCTTTTAAAAATCCATATTTAAAACTCTACTCCTGAATCTAACAAATTAGCACATTATAGAGAAATCTGTATCACAGCCTTCTTCTTGATATCCTAGATAAATTCATTCCATATACTTTTCTGATGTGAGTAAACATTAAAAAGAAGATGCTATGTCTAGAGGAAGAGTCCAGAATTTTACCGTCTTATTCTCTGTCATGTATAACACCACAGTCTCTCTTGTACATTTCTCTATCTCACAGAAATTCCACCTCCTATTTCCATTCCTGAAAAAAATTACCTCTCTTCTCTGTTGTGACCACCAGTGCTTCTGCTGCTTCGCCCCAACCCTTTCGGGTTTGTGCTGTAATACGGAAGAGATATGTGCATTCGGGTCTAAGTCCAGTAGCAGTAAACTGGCGAGCGCTAGGGTTGAGGACTTCCACATTGGCTGAATTAGCAGTTGTGGTATTGAGGCGGTGGGTGATCTGGTATGCTGCATATAAGTGGAAAACACTGTGGTTAGAAAGTGCTCGGGGAAGGAAAAATTGTTTCCATGCCCATTCTTAACCGCAGTCAAAGGAGGAAAACATTATTGTAAAGGATTCACAGAATGGGATTTTAAGAGAGAGTAACCATGGACGTGGCTCACAATTTGTAAGGTGGTTAACCTTCTTGATCTCACTGTAATGCCTCTGATGACATTAAGGGACATCCCAAATAGTAAAGAAAAGCCTGGGGAGATAAATGTTGATTCTTTGAACCAACTTGGTCGATGGTTTCTGCATAGGATAGCTTGGGTGCTTACCCAGAATGATACCATTGGGAGCAGCTGGTGGTTGCCAGATTAGCCGTACAGAAGTTGTTCTCACTTCAGGGAAGAGAATGCCCACTGGGGGCCCTGGCACTGGAATACAAAAGGATGAAAGAGAATGAAGTGCTCAGAAGGTGCTATCAAGGAATATACATATACCTACAGGTGGGACACTGAATGTGTACATATACACACTGATACTAAAAGCCATAGGCCTTGCTTTATTTTTGTATCTGTGTATTGGGGGCTGGGCTTAGGAATGCTGCATGGTTGCTGTTGAAGAACTAAGCCTTTAGAGAAGGAATACGAAAACCAAGGACCCTTCCACACAGTCATATAACCCAGAGTATCAAGGCAGAAAATCCCGCAGTATCTAAGTATCTAAATCCCACAGTATCTAAGTCCACACTGCCATATATTCCAGTGCAAAGCAGATGTGGGATTTTATTCAGTTGTGTGGAAGGGGCCTAAGTCACAATTCCTCTAGGGATGAGTGGGCAATTTGCAAGACGTAGGCTCAGCCAGAATTCAAACTGGGCAGAACTGTTTCTTTCCTTCCAACACTCCCATCCTCTTCTCTTTCTCTTCCCCATCTTTGGGAGGCTGCAAAACATATTGCTCTTATTGTAGGTCTGAATGGCTTGTCAACCTATGAAATTAAGCTGAAGTCTACATGTGTCACATTCTTGATTCACAGAGGTCAGAAGTGTAGTATACAGACATAGTAAAGCATAACTAGTAAGATGTTTCCTTATCCAAATTTTACCTTTCTCATCAAATCTGAACCTATCTATCATTTGGATAAAATAATACTGATCTGCCATAGAGATTTGCTGTAAAAATGCAACAATACAATCAAAAAGCACTTTGAGTGCATGTCAATCTTCTAAATATGCCAAGCATTACCAGTATCATTTGTGATTATTTTAGCCTCCAACAAAAACAGTTGTTTTATCAGTATTTTTTTCCTTTCATTTGCATTGACTTTAAACATTTTTCAGGCAACTTTGTTATGAGCCAGTGTAGTATGATGATTTAAGAGTTGGACTAAGACACTGAAGACCACGGTTCAAATCCCTGTTTGGTGATGAAAACCAACTAGATGACCTTGTGCAAGTCACTCAGAGGAAGGCAAGGAAACCACCTTCTGAATAAATATTGCCAAGAAAATTCCATGATAGCTTCACTTTAGGTTCACTATAAGTCAGAAATGACTTGAAGGTACACAAAAATAACAAGTTTTTTTTAATTTTCCCGTGAGATGTTTTCCTTTGTTTTCTACCATTCTTTTTTCATATGATAATTCTAGCCAGTAGACAGGAGGTTGGTGGACACCTACCATCATCCAGAGTGCGCTCAAGGATGGGTGGATTACTGGGGACACCATCACCAATGCGGGTGAAAGCCAGCACCCGGATCTCATACAGCACATACTTGCCCAAGCCTATCAGCTGGGCACTCCGTGAGGCATTGCCTTCCACTAACCAGAACTGGGCCCTGGCATCTGAATCCTTTTCTTTATACATGACCTAAAAGAAGAAGAGTGATGCAAATTATAACTAGCAAAGATAGGAGAAGCACTGGGTTTTCCTTCTCCAGGAATTCCAAAACTTTGTTTTTAATCTGTTTTATTGTTTTTATATGATCTAATTGTTGATATGTTTTAACTGTTTTATAGTTTGATATTGCATGTGTTATTGTTGTGTCTATGATGTGGCACTGAATTTTTGCTGGAGTTTGTAATCCACTTTGAGTTCCCTTCGGGGTGAGAAAGGTGGGATATAAATAAAGTAAGTAAATAAATAAAGTGAGTGGAAGGCATTATTTCCTGAAAAGCTGGTCTGCCAGATAAAGTGCCAGAAATTAAGACATTTTGACAGTGGTTGAGGCATGAGACTGGGCTACAGGCAAATAGTATTAGTCTAATTTGATTAATTAAGGAGCTATTATTGAGGTTAGTTTCCATCAGAATTTACAGACAGAATTCCTCAAACACCTCTAGAAGGACAAAGTGGATGACAGGGATCCCAGTGGGTCATCAGGTATAGACCAAGAGGCAGAGGAAGCTACTGAGACTATGTATAGGATGGGAGGACACTTCAGGTGCATGGAGAATGGTGTAACAAAGTAGGTTACTTGCTAGGGAAGGGGGCCACTGTTTCCAATACCCACCTTGTAGCCCAGTACAAGTCCATTTCGGTCACCCTCGGGGATATCATTCCATCGCACCAGCATAGAAGTGGATGTAGTTGCCAGGGCTGAGATGTTGGTGGGCCCTGATGAAGGCACTGTGTAAAGAAAGGGAAGAACATAAGGGTGACACCTAAGTCACTCAACTGAACTGAATCTCTAAAAGTCCAAAGGTTCACATGAAAACTTCCAGATAGGCCAGCAGGCAGTGAGAGGTCTGCCAGACTGCCTTAAGGTGAGTGACAAGGCTGGGGTGGAGAGGGTACCTGACTCCCGGGTTCGCCCCACCACGGTCTGACTCCATGGCCCAGGCCCAATGGCATTGAAGGCCTGCACCTGGACTCGGTACTCAGTCCATTCTTCCAGGTCCTCAATGGTGAATTCACGTTCCATGCGGTCATGGATGGTGTTGGTCATTGTGCGACTACGGCCATCTAAGCGTGAGTAGCGCAACCGGTAGCCTACAGACTCGGGGCTGCCATTGTACTCCGTCTCTGGCAGGGGCTGGGGAAACAAAGAGAGCACTTTTGATGGTCTCCAACCTATCTTTTCCCAAAATGCGTTCTCTCCTAAAGATGTTATATTTTCCCAAACTTAGCTAATCTAGTATCCACTGGAAATTTATACATTGTAAGCTATGGTGAAAATTGTCAGCTTTCTTCAGATGGAAAAATAAGAATGCAAAAATTTAAATGAACAAACAACTGTGTAAAAAAAAAAATCCTAAGATTGGAAAAAGCAATTTTGTCTTGTTCTTTCTTTTCTTTTAAAAAAGACATTTAATTGTTTGTTCATTTGTTTACGTATTTATTTTTCAATACTGAGGCTGAAAAACAAATTGCTATATCAAAGTAGGGTGTTATACAGAACAGAAGCCATTCTGAACCCCATAGTTTATACGCATCTGTCACGGGTTACAACTCCTGAAAATCACTGCAGAAACAACAGAACATGCAGCAAGTTTCTGATATCGGTTCCAGATTTGAGATAGATCCAGAAGATGGCAGAACACAAGAACAGAAGGAAGAAGGAGAAGAATCACACTTCCACCACCATATTTTGTTTAATGTTGAATATAGAGCCACCTCTTTCTGTGACAAGAATTTAGTAATACTGCTCTTTCTACTCACAGCAGCAGGAAATGTTGTTCATGGGTTTCTCCTCTGAAGAAACCGAAGTCTGAGGAAATCCACTGATTCAAAAAGGTGCCTGTCTTGACACAGTTAGTGTCCCAGAGCTTGCTTTTGCAGAGCATCAGTTGTCCTCCCTCTGAGGAGGCCTAGACTAGTTGAAAGATGAGGAAAGAATGTTCCTGTCTTTTGCATACACCTTCTCAACTTATATCCATGCCCAATGGCTAATCTAGTCTTCACTGGAACTGTTAGCCTCACTGACTCCCTCCAAACGCCTTGATTTCAGATTCTCCTTAAGAAAATTTAATGGGCTTGCTACTTCACAAACATCAGGGTAACTGTGTGTGGATGTACACTGCAGAATTAATGCAGTTTTGACACCACCTTAATTGCTATGGCTTAATCATGAGAGTTGTAACTTTAGTGGTTTTTAGACTTCTCTGCTAACAAGAGCTGATGTCTCACCGAACTACAACTCCCTGAGCCATGATAGTTAAAGTGCTATCAAACTACATTATTCCTACAGCATAGATGCACAATGCAATTTGCTCCCTGTTTTCATGTAACCCCACCCCTCACCCAACTTTGGCCATCAGTGCCCCTTATACCACTTCTCACCATCCATCGCAGCCAGAGGCTGGTTTCGCTGGCTGTTCGCAATGTGATATTGGCAGGAGATATGTCAGGTGGCGCCTGCAACGTCTGGATCTTGCGGGAAGGCAGGCTGGGTGGGCTAGTGCCCACGATATTCACCTGTCGCATGCGGAAGCTGGTAATGAGAAAACAGATGGATAATTCAGTGCTTGGGAGTATGTAGAAACAATGTGCATCTTTTAATTCATTTCATTTTTGTGGTATGTTATTTTTTATGATTTTCAGGCTGTGAAGCAGGAAGACCACAAGGTTCATGTGCTACTTCCTGCTACTGCTTTGTTTTCTATTGTGAGGACTGAGGCCATGAAAATGTGGACAGAAACAGAGTGTGTATGTGTGTGTGTTTTAAAGTAACTGAAAAACTAAAAAAACAAACCAATTTAGTTATTTGTCACAGAAGAGCAACAAGGAACATTCCTTACAAATTCTCAATGTAATTGAAAACTACTTTCAACAAACATAATGATAATATTTTTTTAATTATCTCTCTCTCTGGATTGTGGTGAGGAACAACAAATTAAAATACTAAAAATGGGCACATAACATAGTTAAAAACATTAACACCATTAAAAAAATCAGTTAAAAGAGGGCAAATTTAAAAAGCATCCATATTAAAAACAATACATTCATAATTTTAAAATTCCTAATTGAAAAATCACATGGGTATACCTTTTAAAACCATGTTTACTCAGTCTAATTCTTACCTTTTTTTTTTTGCTAAACTACATTGCCAAAATTGAGGTGCGCATTAGATTAAATGGTGCATTAGAATCACACACATAAACCCACCTGCATGAAAAGGCCCATAGAACCCTAGTCCTCAGAGGCTGGATGGTGGAGGGGTACAAAGAGGCTATTCTTGATGGTGACAGCCATCTCAGTGCTCCATGGCATCCAGAGAAGGAGTAGGTGCTCCCAGCTGGTGACCCAGTCATTCCTGCTGCTTAACTATGGATTCTGCCTTCTAGGAAGCCCTCAGGGTCTCTGCCCACCCCCCTAGACTCTGTTCCATGTGGTTCCCAAGTGGCCTAATTTATGAGGCCTTCAAAACACCCCTCAGTTTTGAAGGTTTTGCGAATGAGGTCACTCCCCACCGCTTTCCTTGAACCACACTCACCTGTAGTATGTGTAAGGATTAAGGTTGGGCACCTCCATGGAACGGATATCTGGCTCATTAGACAATTGGTGGATCAGGGTCCACTCTTCAGTCTCACCAGTCTGACCCACCTGGAAGGTAAGCAAAGCAATGGGCAGGATTGGGGCAAGCAGCACTGCTCCCCCCTTCCCATATACACACAGTTGGTAAAAATGCACTAGCAACCTTGAAGAGTTTTTAGAAATTGAAAAGCAGGACAACTTGTGCCTGATATTTTCACAACATGAATAAATACTTGAGTAAATTAAAAACAAACAATCATAGAAATCCCATCACTTTAGAGATGTCAAATAGCTGCGATGTTATCATTACTGTTTACTGATCTACTGCAGCAAAACAACACCCAAAAAGCAATACGCCTGGCATTTCTCAGCTAATATATACAAATACAGAAGATAATTCTCAATTTAATACATTTTACTTAAGAGGATTTCATAGAAATATGCTGAAATGTGTTGGTAAGAATAACTTCTGCCTTCCTACAGCATTCGAGATTACACCAGGCAGAATACATGTTGCTGCAGAAAAACTGGAAAAATAAATCCCCACCACATCATCATCACCATTATCATCATCATCACTACCACCACCACCATCATTATCATCATCATCACCATCATCTAAGTGAAATACGCAGCATGCCAAATCTGGATGTACATCAGATTCTAAAGAACAGCTGATTAAACACAGGCTAAACACAGCTTCTATTTTCCATTATCTTCTACTACTTTCTTTTTATTCGATCCTATATTCTCTTCTTTCTACAGGTTCTGCAATTTTTCAAGTATTTAAGCCTCTTTGCATTTTGAAAACACATTCAAATTTGGTGTATGCATCTTATTCTGAACAGAGAATCAGAGGCTGCACATTTTACCCATAACTTCAGTTTTACTTCTTCCACTGTTAGGTCAATCAACCAGCCACAGGCTTACCTGTGCCTCTACCTGCCACCTGGAAATGGATGTTTTGCCATCATAACCAGGACGGAACTGTAGTGTGACTGAGCGGGGACCAATGTTGGAGATGCCCAGGTTGGTAGGAGCCCCAGGAAGTTCTACAAATAGAGAAACAACTCAGTTATCTGCAGTGTAAAGATGAGGCCCACTGACCCTGGAATTCAATGTTCTTCACTGAAAGGCCTTGCGCCAAAAGCCTGTCCTGAAAAGGAAGTTTGTTTCTAGTAAACTAATTTCATAAGAGGCCTCAATGTCCCAAAGGTACAAGATCCCCTCTGATCTTGGCTGCTAAGAAGAGTGAACCCTGGCAAATACCTGGATAGGAGGCCGCAAGAGAGTGTCAGGTACTGTAGCCTATATGTCAGAGGAAGAAACTGGCAAAATTACCTCTGAGTATTACTTGCCCAAGAAAATCCTATACATTCATGGAGTCATACAATTCAACAGGCCATGGTGAAGGCACATTCAAACACACACTGCTTTACTATGCAAACTGTAGTGTGACTAAAGCAGACAGTAATAGATACTATATCAAAAGTATTAGTATAAAAACAAAAGGCAGCTAACAAAATCAAGGAAACTACAGGTGCTACAATCTACAGTTGAAGGAAAACATTACTCCTTTGGGAAAGACATTCTCATCAGTCTCAGCAATTGCAACCAGAAAGGTTTTGCTTTTATTCCTAGGTAGGGGCATTGAACCTTAGTGCAAATATTTCATATACCCAAAGAAGCTCAATTTATAGTTATAGTTCTCACTGAAGCTTCAGAAATAATAATAAAAACAGAAAAACTCCAAAATGGGTTCATATATCTATTTTCTTGAAATTTTAGGGCCACTAAGGGAAAGTCCTATATATAAAAAAGTGGTCAAGCAAATTGGGAATTCTTCTAATTCCTCTAATAGCCACACTGTTAAAATTGGTATGTGTCACTTTGAATCATTGTCATAGACTTGACAACATTTGACAGCCTTTCGTCATCTAAAAATCAATGTGTTGGACTACAATTTCCAGCACTCCAGCTTGCATACTCATGAACAGGGGTGGGTTGGATTGATTCAAAACATCTGGAGGCAACCTGATCAAGGAAATATGTGTAACAAAACCATGAAGGCTGCTTTACAAAGTAAAAGCAGCTTCAGGGGATGATGAATATGAGCCAAGTAGCACAGCAGGGAAGCAGGTACGTAATCGAGCTGTGTCTCTGTTCTGTATAGCCTCTCTTCCGCCTCGCAGCTATTATTGATCTACAGAATAGATGGGGAAAAACAGCTTGAGTGTGTAAATCTTTGAGAAAAAAAGGATGGGCGAGGAAGCATCTTGTTCTTGTGTTCTCAAAGATGCATTTTGAAGGGGATTAGACAAACTTGTGGAGGATAGGACTGTCAACAGCCACAAGTCATGTTGACTATAGGAACACAGGCCGTATATTTCTGCACAATAGCTGTCATGCATGTTTGCCAGACTGAAAACTGAAGAGGGTTCTTGTACCTTTAAAGATTGTACAGAATGGGTACTTTCAGTGGGTACAGCAGCCCTCTTTAGTTTTCTCCTTGGCAAGCCTAGTTGCAAGTGAAGACAAGCTTTGTCTTTACGTCCTTTTCATGGACTTTCCTGAGTCATTTGACTACTAAGAGTGACAGAATGCTGGATCAGATATAGCATGAATAAGCATCCTTTTCATCTGCAAACTTTGGTTATAAATCACACAGATCCAAAGATAACACAGCCAAACTATATATATATATATTTGGTGCCCTGGTTTTTAGATCTCTGTTCCTGTGGTTATTTGGGGCACTGATTCAGAAAATTGCACTGGATAGACTGCATCAGCTCTAGTTTTTTAGATATAGTTATGATTTTCTATGGGTGAACAGAAGATGACTGGTGTATTGCATATGTTCAGTATCTCCAAAACTTGAGCTGGTAGGGGGAAACTGTTGCTATTTTTTGAACCCGCAAGTCAAATATACTCAGGGCTAAATTTGAGGCATCAAAATATGTATTGGCCAGTGCAAAGGATTCTTCTTCCCTTAGGGATATGGACCTAAGAGTTTCTAAACATTTTATGATAAAAACGGAATAACTCCAAACCTTCCACTCTGCCCCCCCCCCCCACCAAATTAAATAAACCAATCCCACTCAGCAAACCAAGCAAGGAACTGAAAAATAGCAGAATCCTCAGCAGCAATTTAGTGACTTATTAATGATGCATTGTAAGACTTTTGGAACCCTGGATTAGGGCTGAGAATAGTGCAGGTCTCAAACAAATATTTGACAAGATTCAAATATTCATCAAACACAGCACTCTCATCTCATGAAGGTCATAAGGAGAGATGACAGAGTTTTCTGTAATTTCTTATTCATTACTTGGATGTTTGTTAATGTAATAATGCCGCAGCCTTGTGAGTCGTTGCTTGTTGTCAGATTTTGAGGAGTATATTATGTGCCTGGATGAATGAAAGCCAAACTTGAATTAATTGAATTACTCAAAAGGACAAATATTGAAACTAATTGAGATTGTCTGAGTGAACTATGACTTTGCCAAACGGAATTAAATAAAATATGGAAAACTATCTGTTCAAGAAAGTGTGTCTTCAAAATTCAGTTCCAAGGACTTGAAAAGCTAGGCACAAATTCCTCAGTAGAAATGTTGCCCTCGGTACTCCTAAAAGCAGCTCAATTTGGTGCACGAAAGCTTGGGGGTTGAAGGTTATGGAAGCAGCAGGATAGATGTATATGAAAGATTTAGAGTGTGTAAGATCCATATTGGGATCATGTCAGACGTGTCTCACAGGGAGTTGCATACCCAGCCTTGAAAAGCTATGGCAAGTAGTGCTTTATTTGCCCAGTGTTTCTCAAAATAAAAACCTCTTCATGGTACAGCTAAGGTAGATGGGAACATTCTCCTTGGTAATAATGAAGCCAGGTATGGGCACTCAGAATCAGAACTATGTCTCTCCCACCAGATTAGAAGAAGCGTCTCTGAAATCAACTGCCCTTGTTTTCCTTCAACCTTAGGTTTGATTTCACATTTAAGCAGCAAATCTGAGGTCATAAGGAATGCAATCTGTAATTGCAGAGATTTAATTTCTTTACAGTAGCACCATCAGCCTATAAGCCCAAAAGATAGCTGCAAGACGCTGGGTTTCACAACATGTGTAAACTGAGCTAAAACAGAATTGATGGTTTAGGTTAGTTGCCATGCGTTAAAACTAGAAGAATCTTGTGTTATATTACAATTCAATAAATTTAGCATGAGATTGCATGGATTATAGTCCATTTCATCCGATGTATGAAGTGCTAACTGGAATAACAAGTATATACATGACAGGAGATGTGATAGTAGAGAAGGAGGTAAGAGGGAAATCTGAAATATTGACAGTGACAATTGTATTATTGAAACTGATAATTCAGAAAAATAAAAAGAACAAAAAGCAAGCATCCTAGTCTACAAAATTTATTGCAATAAATTACGTAGCCTTTTAATGTATAATAAGATTGTTTTCTGTTTTCATTCCAATAGACTCGCACAGTTAGGAGCTCTTGACTTGAATTATGAGTCACAGTCTTTCTAAACGTTCACAGCAATTTTTGTACAATTGTCCCAAAAACTAGCTTTTTTGGGGAGGGGGGGGAATTACTTTTGTAATCCCCCCCTTTTAAAAAAACTAGTCCAATCAAAACAGAGGGAAAGTCAATGTGCCACCCCCCCCCCCCACAATTGGCCAACACAGCAGGGAAGTGTACTTTGCTTGATTCCTGAATAAAACATCTTATGATTTGAACTGAGTTCTCCTCTCACATAGTGCTTTATATTTTAGCTTCCTGTCTGTCCATTTTCATGGACTTGTGATGCAATTCTGCATATGCTGTACTATTTAGCAAGGGACATCTGTGTTTCCAATTTATATTATGTCTATTGAGTTTGGTGTTAACATGGCTGCTTACTAAAGCTTTAGGGGACGATAGATTTTGTTCATATTTGTGCATGGGGGGGGGGCTTAAAATGTTTTAGTCTTTATTCTCTCTATTTTGGATTGTTTAAAACTATTTACTTCATTGTATGAAGCAAACAGTTAAGCTGCTTTGAAATCTTTGGATAGAGAGTGAGGCTATAAAAATTTCAACCAACCAATAAAACAAAACCATCCTTCATATTTTGTTGTCGAAGGCTTTCATGACCTAGTTTCCAACAGAATTCACAACCACTGAGATACCTGCCATATATGTGGGTGAAACGTCAGGAGAGGATGCTTCTGAAACAGGGCCATACAGTCCTGAAAACTCACAGTAATCCAATCCTTCACAGTTGTTTCTACAGCAGGAGCTTCCATTGTAACAGGTTACCATCCCTTAAGCTTTGTGGCTAGCAGGGCCTTTAAGCAAAACTGACCTGGTGGAACTCCAGAGGAAATAGTGGATGAGGAAAGTTGTCCTTGTCCCTTTGAAGTCATGGATGCCACTTCAATGGTGTACGTGGTGAGGGCTGTGAGGCCAGTGACCCGGTATTCAAGGGTTACATTGGGCAGATAATGCGTCACACGTGTATTTGTGCGGTTGTATTCCTCCCAAGAGATCCGGTAGCCTAAAAAGAAGCCAAAACATTTACAGACAGAATTATGCAACTTAAATTTTGCACATTTCAGAAATCAATCTAAACCTAAGGCGAATCTGTTATATATTTCCTTAGTGCTCCTGCTTTTTCAATGAAATCTGCTCACTAAACACTGGAAGCATTTGACAAACAGAAATCATGATTCTGCTATTTAAAGTTTTCCTTGTTGCTTTAAGTTTGGAACAAGGTGCCCAGCCATGAGAGCAATGGTGAGAGGAACACACTTGGGCTTTGAAAGTGGGGCTCTGCCGTGAAGGTGATTTACAGGGAAGATTGTAGTGGTACTATGGTGGCCCCAATGAGGGAGACAGTTTATTTTGCCTTTTTAATTGTGAGGGTCCTGATTTGCCCTTCCACCATTAATGTCAGGGAGGTGCTAAGGGGAAGGGGGTCCAGGACAGGTCTGAGGCAGCATACCCTGAGGGCTCTTCCACACAGCCCTATATCCCATAATGTCAAGGTAGAAAATCCCACAATATTTGCTTTGAACTGGTTTATCTAAGCCCGCACTCAGATAATGTGGGATTTTCTGCCTTGATTTTTTGGGATATAGGGCTGTGTGGAAGGGCCTTGAATTGCAACTGAATTATATTGCTTGGGTAGACATCCCAACAGACTATCTCTAAGGAAGCTTACAATAACAACAAAAATATAAAGTTCAATGAAATCCATTCCATATGAAAATGTTTCTGACCTGTTAGAATGCCATTCTTTTCTAGGGGCTCTTGCCAGCTGACCTTCAGAGATGTGTCCAGGATCTCGTTGAAGCTGAGGTGGCCCACTGGACCCGGAACTAGTCAAACAAACAACCAACCACCCAGAAAGTTACAATAGAACAAACAATTCAAGACTTCCTTAAGACAATCAAAAAGGGAATTTGCTTGTCACCGGCTCTTCCCACGGAAACACATACAAAGGCCCTCCGGGGTTGGGTGAAAGGTTGACTGCCATAGCCACAGCCCAGATGGAGTCAAAGGGCCTTCAGAGGGGTTTAGTAATGAGGCAGCAACATACTCAGACTTCCATTGAGGAAGATGGTTTTTAACTCATGTTGATCAATGGGTAAGGTATCTATGGACCCACAGTTTAATGAACATACAGGAACCCCAGAGCAGTGCCTGTGCCCAGCTCCAAAGGGAAGGGCCGTACCATCCTCATGGGTGCGCACCAGCTGCGGTGGGCTGCGGGGTCCGTCGCCTGGTGTGGTGAAGCACAGCACTGATGTAAAATATTCAGTGAACTTCTTGAGGCCTGAGATGTAGCCCACATGGATATTATCTTGGAAATTAGGCCTCACTGTTGCCACAGTCATGTCTTCTTCTTGCGCTGGTTCCCAGGCAATCAGCTAATGGAAAATAAATAATATCATGGTTCAATCAGGATGGGGAAACCTATTAGAAACCACTGAGGACAAGTCAGGGATTTGATACAATTACACATGTGGGCATTAAAGTATGCATCAGAAAGATTTATATACATGAGCAGTAACTGGAATATTTTCTTTGGCAAAAATATCTCAGCATGGATTAAAATGAAAATAGTTTCAGCTCAGTCTTGTTTGTCTAGGTGTTGATACCCTTTCAAATTGCCCCTCAGTTTCACGGTCAAAACAAAAAGCTCATTGTTACATTCCTTTAAGCATCATCCTAGTAGAAGTAGGAGAAGTTCAATGAAGTCCTGAACCTGCCAGTAACAGAGTGTGGCAGGAACAGAGAAAACACTGGAGTTGATTTAGGAACTCTCTAGTGGCAAAGAATTGATTGTATACCTTGGCAAACCATACCAGTTAATTAACTGAGATCTAGGGAAGTCTGAAGGGTATTGTTTTCATTCCTCTTCCTCCTTAACTTTGAAAAGCTCATAGCAGGTTGCAGAGAGGCTGTCAGTGTTTCTTCCCTTTAGACATGGGTTCAGATCTGCACCTGCTTAGCTTCAGAAATGCTATACAATTGAATGATCTTGTATCACTCATTTAGAGAGGCACAGTTGGTAAATATGTTATCTGTTACTGCTAGAGCCTTTAGTGCCAGTAGCTTCAGTAGATGGGCACTTGAGAGAGTGCTTCTAAAAAAAAATCATCTTCCTTTAGACACACTTAACCAAGCTGATTTTTCTCACTATCTGGAGGGAGACATTAGTTCTTAAAGAGAACAATCTTACATCACGGTTTTGCAAACAACTAAAGGCTACTTGTTGTTGTATGTCTTCACATTTCTAATCTATTAAAACCCTACAGTGAAGCCATAATGGGATTTTCTTGACAAAATTTGTTCAGAGGAGGTTTACTCTTGCCTTCACCCAAGGCTGGGAAACTACTGGTGACTGGCCAAAGATCACCAGTGCTTTCCATTGCCAAGTGGAGATCTGAACATTGGTCACCAGAGTCATAATCCAGTGATCAAAACACAATACCACAACATAAATAACTATAGAATATAACAAAAACAGTTCCATTAGAAAAATACAAACTACACTGCTGAAATGGTGAACACATCAGTAGAAAAGCTAATAAAGGAACATGTGTGGGATTGTGGTAGCATAGGGGTTGTACCTCATGCTCTGTTGGAGTGTGCCCCTATCAATGACATAGCTTTGCACTGGCCATGGACCTGCCATGAGAAGTTTGTTTTTCATTGATTACAATAGACAGCAATATTTAAAAAAGTGTTAGGGAGTTCTGTTGCATGACAGCTCTCAGGGGTTTTAATCCCAGGTTGTCCCCTTCTTTTTGGCCCTGATGTAACTGTTTTGATCAAGGCATGTAAAAAGATGGGTAGCACCATGTTTTCCCCATTTCCCAATATTGGATCAAAGAAGTCCTAACTCTTGCTTTCTAACCGCTTTAGTGGTTGCATGGGACTCATATTATCATTTTCCTCCTTTGCTTTGTGTACTTATGGGTGAAGTGGCACCACATATGGACACACATATGGACACATCCTGACTGACTGGACCAGGTGGGATATCTATTTCTCAATGGCAATGACAGTATTTCTGCCTTTTTTGGGAGAGGGGTGGGCTAGATCCAAATTTGCCTGGCATTCTGTGAAACTATATAACACAATAGATGTCTTGGTTGGCAACAGAAATAGAGTATTTCTCTCTCTCTCTGTGTGTGTGTGTGTGCCTTTAAAAAGACAAAGCACTCTTAGGTTCTTTGTTTTTGAGAGATCTTCTGCAACCCAGTGATTACAGAAAATGCTGAGAGGCAACTGACAAGTGAATCTGACCCACATATTGTATTTGTCCAAGTTCAGGAATCTTTTCTAAACTAAAAAACACATTGTATGGTAGGGGGAAAAGAAAGAAAGGAAGATACAAGATTATTAGATGATTTTGTATTCAATGATCCCAGTAACTATTCTTATTCTACAGAGCAAATTAGAGCTGCTGGTGTAGTTAGTGTCAGCATTTTACTTTTAATTAGTGTCACCATATTACTTTTTTTAGCAACCAGATGTCGAGTTTTTCATATTCATACATTCTTTTGTTGTCCATAGTGTTGTCCAGCAGACAAACTCAAAAGAATGTTAGATTCTAATTCTCAACAGGGGTTTTGAAACACGTCTGGCTTCAATCCACCCATTATGCCATGTTTTCTCTGGCATAATGTGCAGTTCTGAGGTAGAGAATGGGAATCCTAAAGGGAACTGACTCATCATCTTTCAAGTTCCCAGGGCCCTTCTGTCTTCGCCCACCTGTAGCAGTTATCCTGGCCTTGGCTGATAAGAGAAGCAAATGCTTAGCACCTACAAGTGCTGTAGCAGAGATGTAAGGCCCTGTTTGCCTCTTTTTACTGCTTCAGTGCTCACAAGGCACAGTAGATGCTGAAAAAGTTAGATTCTCATTCAGCTTGTCTTGGTAGGATTCTGTTCATAGTAGTTGTCAGGCTAGACGCAAAAAAGGCAGGGAAAGAGCCTCTAGGGTATCTGCCAAGGATGCTTTTGGTGTGGATTCCTGTGTTGTTGGAGGCGAAACTAGATGCTTCCTTGCCTCCCCTTCTGACACTACAAACGTGTGAGCCATCTCCTTGTTAGGTATTTCCAAGCGGAACTAAAGTGGAAACATGGGAACCAGCATCCAAGGGCATGCAGGCTGAGGCACAATCCAGGGAATCAACCCACCAGCAAAAAATCCCCAACAAAACAAAACAAAAACAAACAAACAAAACAAAAACAAAGAAGTCCCAATAACTCCACCACCACCACCACCACCAACAACAACAACAACAAAACTGGTAGAAGGAAATCTGGGGAATGCAAAAAGCATTCCTGTATTTTATAGTCTTTTGACTGCTAATAACTAAATTCAACCCTAAAATTGAAGCAAAATACTATAAATACTATAGCAAAATTCCTATAGTATTTGGAGTAGAGTCAATGTTTAATTAGATTCATTCTTGTAGGAATCAGCTTTTGTTGGGTTGGGGACTAGAGCTGGATTTCCTAGAGCTTAGGGCTCAAACTTGTGGCAAAAATCCCTATTGGTCCTCCCATCCTTGGCTAAGACCAGCAGTTTAGATATGAATGCAACCGCTGATCATTCCTGGATGCTGCTTGAGTTGACATCTGTGTAAGCACCTTTGATGATTTGGGCCTCCATCCATAGGACACTATTTCTCAAAGGGTTGCTTGAGAGGTCTGTGGGGATGAAACAATCTTTTTCTATGGCTTCCAGTTCCTCTGATATTTACTCTTCATTTGTGCCTCTTCAAAGGCCTGCAGAAGCAACTTGCTGGGATTAAAGGCTTCTGTGAAGCAGAGTGTATACAAAGAGGCAAAGACCTGGCCTTCCATTGAGAGGTATTTAATTCCTCAGAGCCCTGCAAGAACTGAATTTGTATGACTGGCCAATATGAGAACCCAATTAAAAAGAAAGCTCAGATAAAAGCAGTCCAATTGCATCTAGCATCAGATGTCATGGTTTCCCACTATTTATATTTTGAAGCCGAATTCTCTTTCTCTCATAGAAGTTGCAGGCTGTCATTCATGCCTTTTGAAAAAAGTGCTATGCTTTTATTGATTACATTTTAAAATCCCAACCTTTGTATATTCCTACATGGCAAGCAGTTGGACTGGATGGCTCTTGCACTCTCTTCCAACTGTATGATCCTTTCTCTAAGAACCCAGCAGCACAACAGATAAAAATGATGCATTTAGAAAAATAATCAATAGGAATGGTTTAACTCTATTTTTCTCAGTAAAATGCAGTTCCTTGGTAAAGTACTATTTGGAAAAATTCTGTGCATGCCCAATCAGAATTAAACCCCACTAATTTCAGCAGTAATTACGCATTTGTCTGTGTCCTCAACTAGTCTATTTACTTATTGATGACATCATTAATTGCTTAGGGAAGGAATACAAGGTGATTTTGACAGTTCCTTCCTCTTAAATCTAGCCTACAGCACCTGGTATTTGTTGGCTAACCAGGACTAACCAGGACCGGCCCTACTTAGCTTCCAAGATTAGACAGGATCTGATAACTTTAGGGTATTTAGATTTCTCATTTGGCTTTGCTGCCACATAAATATTTAACTGAGGCTCATCAATCTTTTGCATGCATTTTACAGAACATTATAAAGGTCAGAAAACTGAAGTGTCCCTTCTTGATGTTAAAGTAACCCCTGTGGACTGTGGAAGGAACCCCTATACAGCTATCTTTTTATCTATAATTTTGCCTACCAGAAAGGCATTACAAGCTGGATTGTCAAGAGAGCTCCTCTATAAATGGTTAACAACAACACTAAGCTGTTATTGTTGTTTTAAACTAAAAGGCATTTAGGTGGACTGCTGGTGCTTAATTTGTTCCATTTTAGATCATCTCCTTTATTTGGTGTTGATTAAATATCAATTAATAAGAAAAAGGAATAGCTGAGTTTTTAATAAGTGTATGTACTTATCCATCCAAAACAATATTCAACACAAGCTGCCTGATTAACTGATGCTGATAACAATGCATAATCAGCTACTTTGCCATGGTGCTATATTCAAGGATGTTTGGGTGTTTAATTGGCAACGGTGCAAGATAGCCTATAGCAAGTTAATTAGATACTAATTAGGCCTCCAAAAATACTAATCAAAAATACTAAGTGGCATTTAATAAGTATGTTAAGTATCCTTCTTAACGTTGGTTATCTCATTTGGCAGCAATTAAATTCCTGAACTTCTTTGGAGTAGATTAAGAAACAAGTTTTAATGTTTTAATTCAATTTAATTAATGCAAATTTGAATTAATTACAATTCAAAATTGAGCATACAAGGCGAGGATCCCATATAACTATTCTATCTTAGTAAATATATTTTAATAGATGAGCTTGAAGAACTGGCAATAACCATTTTTAAATAAAAATGAGGACTTACTTTAAAAGGGGAAGATTATGAAACAGCAGTAAGACTATTCATATTCATAAGATTAGGAAACGGGAGGTCAAAAAACCCTGATTGCCTTCCTTCTGCAAGCTGACTAAATCTAAGATAGTGATGCATTGCCAAGCTAGACAGTAACTTAAAATCTTCCACTTTGAACAGAGTTGCCATTTCAGTTTGGCGCACATGCCTGCAGTAGTTTATCACAATGCATTCAAAGGCCACAGTGGCCATGAAGGTATGTGGCTCACATAAAGGGGTCCAGTCTAATACAACCGCTAGCTATGGAATTATATCATTTAATTGGTACTTGGTACCTAACTGGGAGGACAGAAAAGAAAGCAAATACAGCCCTGTGGACTTCTTCATGGTTGCTTAGAAGGAGGGGTGACCAGACTTGCACACTCCTTTGATTGCTCAGAAATGGCTGTTGGAAGAGAAGAGGGGCTCTGTGGTTTCATGCTTTCTGTTAGAGCGATTCTGCGCCCTTTGTAAATCTATGCCGTGACAAGCAAGGTTGAAAAGGCTGGAAGAGGCCTGTATGGGGAGATTTGCAGCCAAGGCAACTGTAATTGGCTGACCCAGGAGCAACCCCATGCAATGATGAATGCCCCTAAAACAGGTAATAAAAGAGACAGACAGAAGTACAGATTGGAAACAGCACGAACACTAAACCCTTCCTGGTAAGGAAACCACAGAGCTTCTGGGCAATAAGAAAATGGGTATAGATTTTCATCCTGTTTAAATGTTGCTTATGGGGGAAGAGAGCCACTTGGGGGCTTCTAAAAGTGATGCCTGAAACTTCTTTTGCCAGTTCTGACTCATTTTGTCTTTCTGAGATAAAATAACGACTTACTTACAACCTGTAAAAGGGCTCCCAGCCAATTCCCATCCCTCTTTATTGATACTCAAAATTTAATCCTGAAACTCTATGACAACAGTCTCATCTCTGTCCATTGATTAAAACAAGGAGTGTTTTGGCTTAATCAATCTGCAAGCCTTTAGCTCTGTCTTTCAAGGAGGAACATGTCCGCTCTCTCCTTTATTTATTTATTTACAATATTTTTATCCCTTTCCCAGCCCAAAGGCAACTCAAGGCGGCTTAGAGATTGGCAGCCATTTGATGCCATAACAGTCCACAAAATACAATTAAAACATTTAAAACAACATTATAAAACAATATAAATACCATTAAAAACATATAATAGTCACTGTCTTCCTGTTGATCTCATTTTCCAGTAGCATCGTCTAAGCTGTTCCATGTTTCAAACTTATATATTTCCATATTTGTCCATTGCACTTCATTTCCAAAGGCTTGTTCAAAGAGCCAGGTTTTTACTTTTTTCGGAAGGTCAGGAGGGAGGAGCCATTCTCCTTACCTTGTAGCCTTGGTTGATGCCATTGACAAACTGGGGACTGGGAGGGTTCCAGGTGAAGCGAATGGCGGTGGAGTTGGTGGCCTCAGCCTGCACATTACCAGGGGACACGGTGGGAACTGTGAGAGGGGAAGTTGAAAGGAGGCATCTCAGCATGAGTGGATGGGAAGCATGGCCACTGGAACAGAAGTAATCTACCTGGTTACATAAATGCCCTTTGAATACTACAAATCTAAACTGTTCCGTGCTATACTACTGCTATTGCCATCCTGAGCTTTCAATGCATACTATGATTCTGCCCCACAAGGATTCTGTCTTTTGGCCCATTGTTACCAATTTCCAATCTTTTTAGAGGTCCCTGTGGAGTAAGATTATTCCAGGGCCATCCTCCTCTCTGTTTCCCCTTATGGCCTCTGGTCATGTTGCAACTTACCCCCCTGGAGAGTCCATTCAGTGACTTTGGAACTGTAGACGCCAAGTCCAGCGCTGTTGTATGCAGCTACCTCAATCTCATAGTTGGTCCAAATGATCAGATCTTCAAGCAGCAGATTGTTGACATCAGCATTAGTGATGTTCCTGAACTGGTAGCCAACAGGCAAGCCAGCCAGGCAAAATCTGGAAAGGGACAACATGAACAGCATAAAGATACATCCACTGGTCATATGGCAACCTGATACTTTTTTATTTTCAACCCAGACAATGACTGATTTCAATAGATGCTGTTCTGTATCAAGCTCTACTCACCTGTCAGTAGGGATATCTAACTTTTGCCATGCTCACCCACCTGATGATGTAGCCTTTTAGGATCCCATTCTGGTGGTTTTCAGGTGGCGGTTGCCACTGTATCATGATGGACTGGTTTGTGCGGCCACTGGCAATAACATTTTGTGGAGGTGCTGTGGGGGGTTCTTCAGGGAGGGACACTCTGTCAAAGGGAAGATGATACAAAAGGCACATTACAGGGATGGATGTGAGTTGTTTTAGACTCTCAAATCTATGTCTATTAATCTTTTCCTGACACTGGCAACCCCAGCCATGCCCCTGTACATCTCTTGCTCCTTTTTTACATACACATATAGTCCTTTCTCAGTGTGTGTACACTGAGCCATGCCTTACTGTTCACACTCAAGTGTGTACTGTGTTCATCCAACCTCTTTGAGCCATGCCTTAATATAAGAATGCTAGCAAGTATCTCAACAGGCCAGATACATGGCTGACAATAAAGCCAAGGGCTGCCATTGAGAAGAGCCACAAAATTCTGTTCCTCCTCTTGTACAATCCATCATGCCATAAAGCTATGTGCAACTAATACCCTCTCTGTTGTACCCACAACTATCTCCATCCCAAATCAATATGAGCCAGAACAAATACTAATAGACTCATTTCACACTGGGTTTTTGTCTCTCCAAAACATGTCCTAGCATAATCCCCATGATAACATCTTCAGCACCCAGATTCTAGCAGCCCACACCCCAACAAAGTAAGCCTTTCCCATCCAAGATGTGCCCATCTCACCTCTCGGTGTCCTTGCTGAACTGGCCTTTGCCCACATCATTGACTGCACAGAGTCGGAACTGGTATGAACGAGCAGGAACCAATCCTCTTACCAGCACTGAAGTAACTTCAGGGTCCACACTGGCCATGAGCACTGTCCAGGGAGCATCTATGAGACACAGAGGTGATGGTGGGGCATTAGAAGCCATATTGAGGAAAACAACAAAGGGAAAACAGGACCCTGTCCTATTTCTCCAGATGCATTCTTGCCTTCTGCTCCCACCCAGTCTTTCCCAGGAACTTTATAAGGGGACAACAACCCATCTCCAGTAGCTGCTACGAGACTACAGGGCTGCCTTCTCTGATTGTACTCAACACTCTCTGTAAATCATGAAGATACAATGCCTTACTGTTCTCTGAGACTTCAAGGATGTACCGCAGCAGTGGGCTATTCCCATCAAAGGGTTTGGTCCACGTCAAGTTGATGGCACGTTTCTCCATAGCACTCAGCATGCCAATTGGGTTTTCTGGTGCATGGGGGAGCTGCCTGATGAGGAAGAGAATAGAAAGAGCTAATCTCAATAGTTGTTAGGACAGAAGAACTTCATTGAGAAAAGGGAGTTAGCGGAGGAAAGACATAGGAGACCAAGTCCACTTCCTGCATTGACATTTTATGAGCAGTAGTTTTGGATTTCATAGGATTGACTTGATCACACATTGAGTATACAGAATCAATGTATTAGAGGTCTTGTATTTGAGCCTAACAATGGTTCTTTCCAAGGAAGCAGGTATCAGGCAAAGAGACATAATGTCTCAGAGAATTTCTAGGTTTCCAAGTTGGATCATTCACACACTCCAGCTGCTATTCACAAGCAGAGCCATCAGTGTTGGATCTATTCCAATATGGTGTGATTCCATACTTCAAGAGAGCATTTTAATGATGTGGTCCAAACCACAGTGTTTGTTTTACACATTCCTATAGCACACAAATGAACCACAGTGAAGATGTTCCAATGAAGCCAAGAATTCATGTGAGGGGTATCTGAACACAACAGGTTTGTCATGTAGAAAATTTTGGAATATGAGACCACCTGGATCCTCTAAGTGTATGAGAGAGAAATTTTGGGAAACTTTGTAGGTTCTAAGAGATCAAGATAAAGTCTGCTCTGGTACAGCAACAAGTTTATTCCTGTAACAATGAGACCAAAATGAGTACAGACCGAGTACCCTTTATCCAAAATGATTGGGACTAGAAGTATTTTAGATTTTTGAGATTTTGGAATACTTGTATTTGCATATGTGTACAGTCTCTTCTTTGCCCCTGCCCCCAATCCTCATATTTTTGCTTTCTCTGCATCAGGTTTGGTTTATCCCCATTTGAAGCCATTTCCAATGCCTGTCTTCAAGAGGTGGTCCTTACCGGACTCGTAGGTGAGCATTGCGAGAATCATTGCCTCCAGCTGACACCACTCGACAGGTGTAGGTGCCAATATCACCTGACCAGGTTTGAGCAATGTGTAAAGTCCCTGTGGTTTCCAGTCGCAAGCGCGGCACATTCTCTACATTCAGTGCTGCACCATCCTTTTCCCACATGAACCTAGGAAGAAAGCAAAATAAGACAGGATGACAGATGTTACCCCTTTTCCAAATTTCTATCTGCCTCCCTGGGATGCTGGTAGAACATGGAGTTCTAACTGTTCCCTTCCTAAAATGAAACTCCAAGGCACTAAAAGCTGCTTAGCTCTTATCGGTGATTATAATTTCCTCATTCTTTAGAACTATTCTTTCTCGCATTTAAAGCAATGGCTTCCAAACACAGCCTTTTAAGGATGCTGCCATGCTCTTGTGGGAGTTGTTCAATACGAAGCTCAGTAGTGAAGATGCTCAAGTTTCTCTGACAGATAGCTTGCATATTGCTAAATTAACATCTCTTCTAGTGCACACGTGGGCAGGAATGTGTTAGTTTTCTCCTAGAATGGTGGTTCTTTGGCCACCTAATGTGTGTGTTTGGCAATTTTCTCCCTAATGTGCCAGGGATGGGTATCATATTTCTGCCCATGGCCTACAACTGTTTCTGTTTTTCCTGGAAACTCAACAGGAAAAAAGAATCTCAAAGTGCTCAACAGATGGCTGCTTTATTACAGAGAAAGCCCAATGTGAGCCAAAACCTGTTTGGGTTTTTTTTGGTAATAAAGCAGACATCAATTGAACACTGAAACATTTATCTGGTTTTTGCTTTGGATTCTACTGCATAATCTTCAGATTTCGTCTTTTCCGTTTCCTTACCATAACAACCATAACCACCCACTGATGGACCCTACCAAACTGAATACATTATTTTTTGATCCCAAATGTTGTCTAGGGAGCAAATGGGGCAATTTTCACAATGTTTTTGCCATTCCCAAGCCATTTTATGCTTTTTTTTCCTGGTGTCAGGAGCGACTTGAGAAACTGCAAGTTGCTTCTGGTGTGAGAGAATTGGCCATCTTCAAGGACATTGCCCAGGAGATGCCCAGATGTTTTGATGTTTTACCACCATTGTGGGAGGCTTCTCTCATGTCCCTGCAAGGGGAGCTGGAGCTGACAGAGGGAGCTCATCCATACCCTCCCTGGATTTGAACCTTTGACCTGTCAGTCTTCAGTCCTGCCAGCACAAGGGTTTAAACCATTGCGCCATCAGGGGATCCACTTTATGCTGTAGAGGCCTTTTTGATGACAGGAAGGGATCTAGAAGTAATTTCTGGTTCACCTCTTGTTAGAAAAAAGTCCCTATCCTAAACATAAAATGGCCCAGTCCCCATCCCAAATGTGATGAAATTCCTTCCATCTAGGAGAGCATTATCTTACCAAAACTATCTCCCACATAAAGCATTTCCCCCCAAATGATGTGATTCATTTAGCACTCAATTATTTCCTCTGAGTCTTTGAGGGTCCTCATCTTCTGTTCCTGGGGCAAAATAGATGTGTGTCTCAAAATAACACCTCCACCATAGGAGTGCCACCTGAGGAGTTTCCTCAGCAGGCAAATCAATGAAAAAAAAACCCACCCACGTTCTTTCAAAGTCAAAAGTATGAAATCTGTGCTTGAAGCACTCCATCACTATATTTCACAACGGTGATGCTAAAATACATGATATTTTCTGGGACACAGAATTAATTCCCGGGAATATCAGCTTTCATTAAAAAAAAAACCCAAAACACACAAACACAAACACAAATAACTGGGCCATCCTTATGGCTGCAAAAATAGATTAGAGAATGTGTGATGAATACATGTTAAGCGGAACAGTCACTGTACAAGTTATGAACATCTTGTATACTGCTCTCTCATTTTCCATGATGAGTAGAAGCCAAGAATGTTGTGTAAAAAACAAAAAAAACAAGCACCAACACAGGCTGTAGAATTCAATTCCCTTTAAAAAAGTATAACTGGTCCAGGGTACACATACAGAGAATCAGTGCAGGGTAGTAGTTTGAGCACAGGATGATAACTTTGGAGACCAAGGTTTGAATCCCTGCTCAGCAGGTCATGCTCTCCCAGCCTCAGAGGAAGGCAATGGGCAAAACTTTGCTAAACATAACTTGGAAAGAAAGTCTTATGATAGGGTCACCATAGTTCAGAAATAACTTGACGGCATATAATAGTAACACATACAAAGACATGTCCTTCTCAAACTAGCATCTCCTGTCTGTCATAAGAAGACTGTTGGAATCCAAGGAAAAGGTTAATCAAGACCAATGAGTTTTGTCTCAGCAACATCCCTAAACCAGGCACCAGGTGGCAATACAGGCCCGTGATCATTTTTTAATGTGATATTTCTCTGTCCATGGTCTTAAAGCAAGTGAAGAAATGGCCGGGAGATTCCTGGCTAAGTCATATTGTAATACACCAAGATGAATTTGTCGGCATGCAGTTCTGATTGTTTCCGGAGAACAGAGGTGCCGAGAGACTGGTCACTCCCCAAAGCGCAGGATTTATACCAAGAATGGTGCCAAAGTGGAAGCTTCTACAAATTGAAACCATGTTATCAGAGTCAGCGAGATTAGTTTTCTTTAGCAAGAGAGGCCCAGAGGAAAGACATTTTTAGACCACTTCAAATATTCCAGAGCTAAATTCTGCTGCTGAAAACAGATATCAGAACTGAGTGTTGCCTTAAATTATCCTTTGCATTTTGTCAAGATATTAAGAGCCTATGGGCCAGAACATTTATTAATTTGCAGTTTAAGGAGCTTGGGATATATGTATTTTTTATCACTGACCAGGGAGAAATCACCATCTGTGGTGACTGCTTTTCAGCAGCTTGAAAAATCAGCCATCCCTAATCATCTTGATTGCCTTTCTTCCTCCCCTTTTATTTCACATCTCATGTGCCAAAGGCTGCCACTTCCCTTTAATTGCTTCTGCCCTTTGCACGCCACCTTCCTTTTCATTCATCTCAACTTAGATGAAATAGAAACTCTTACATACCGAACAATTACACTGGGGTCGTGGGTCACTCCACAAGTCATGGAAGCCTTGGTGCCTTTGATAACACTTTGGTCCTGAGGTGGATTGGTGATGCGAGTCCGGGCTGTAGACACAGAGAGAACGGAAAGTGGAGACATAGCCAGACTCTGGGCTGAGAGTTCTCAGGGAAACACAAATAGCTGCGATTCTGCCTGCAACGGATAATCGTCTGAGGACACCTTCCTTTCTGGTAAGACTGGCATGAAGTTCCACACATGCTTGTCAGGTGACCACATTTGAGTTGTCTTATTTCACAGAATGATAACATTATGAACATGGGCTAAATGGTGTTTTGCTTAACCTCATTCCTACAAGGCAAAACACTCAAACAAACATGCATGCTCATACATCACAATTTTACAGAAATTATTATCACTAGGAAATATGTGGAATACCACAGCTCCAAAGCCAGGCTATAGACCCTACAGGGGAAACATCTTTGTCTCCCTTCCACATTGGCATGACTATCACTATCAAACAAATGACATCCATTTAATTCCCTCCTACATGAAAGGTCGGCTCAACGCCACAGAGGACCTTTTCATTAGCTGCAAGCTATGTTTCTGTCTATCTCTGGACAACTAGGAAAGTCGTGTCCCTATAAATTGGTAGTAGCTAATGTATGGTAGGACTGACATAGAGTAGTCCCCCACTTTCACTGAGGCTAGAGGCACAAGACCCATACTGAAATGGGGAAAAAAACCCACAAAAAAAACACAGGGGTTTTCTTTAACTTGAGAGACAACTTCTCTTGACATTTTTAGTCCTTCAATATGACTATGGTCAGCTTCCAGCAGACGTTGCCCTGAGATGTATTATCAAAGGCTTTCATGGCCAGAATCACTGGGTTTTTGTGAGTTTTCTGGGCTTTATGGCCATGTTCCAGAAACATTCCCTCCTGATTTTTCACCTGCATCTATGGCAGGCATCCTCAGAAGTTGTGAAGTTTGTTGGAAACTAGACCTTACAACCTCTGAGGATGCCTGCCATAGATGTAGGTGAAACATCAGAAGGGAATGCTTCTGGAACATAGCCATACAGCCCAGAAAACTCACAACAACCCAGAGCGGTTCTAGACAGCCCCGGGCTGTGCAGACAACGTTTTGGGCAATACCAAATAAATTCACCACAAACCAGGGAAACCAGGGAAACCCTGGTTTGTGGTGAATTAACTAAATAGTGGGTTTATTCTGCGCCTATTCCGAGTCATTTCTACATGCCAGGAGAGCTCCAGCAACACTGTAATGGAGGCCAGGTTAGTTTATTTTATTTTAAAAGGGGTAGGGGGGTAGGGTCTTCAGATGTTCTCCCAGGCCAATCCCAAAAGAATACCTGAAAACCCATCCCAGAAAGCACGTGCTTTCTGGGGTGGGTGTGGACAGGCTCTCAGGAACATCTGTGTTTTTTAAATGTGGATGCTCCTGGGATAACAGCCTGTCTCAGGGGCCCCCACAGTTGCCCTAAGAGTCGTCCTGCAGACTCTAAAGATTCCTCGAACTAACATAGAAATCAAACCTGCAAATAATCAAATCTTCAAAATTTTAATCCCGCAAATGTGGAGGCCCAATTGTAATTGCAAACAAGTATAGGTAAAGCTTTTCATGTATTGAGATCTCAATTTAGGTTAAGAGACAGCTGAAAGGCTAGACCATCAGCTAGCCAACCAACCATCCAATGCAAATGCATATTGTTCCAGGGAACAAGCAAGATATTCCTAGACAGCAGGGGGCAGTGATTCACCTCAACAGAGAGTGCAGAGGACTTAATTACAATTGCTTTATTAGACAAAGTGAGAGCTATTTTAAAGAGGAATGGATTTGTGCTCAGGACCAAATTGATGGCCACAGTCCACATGCACCAAGGACTTTAGACTGTAGTAGTCCCTTATCTGAATGCACAGCAGTCTGATCTGCAGAATAAAGTTTCTATGTTTTCCATGAATCTATGCCTCTTTCTCTCAGGCTTGTGGGATGGCATTTTTAATTTTGTTTCTTAAGAAGTAACTGGTATTTTTGCAGCTATTTCAAATAATTTTTTATTTAGATTTCAATAAAAACAAAATGAAAGCATGAGAACTTCTTCATGTAGTGATGCTAGCATGTCTGAAAAGCTGTACTGACACATAAATGATTTGTTGTGATAATGCCTGGAAAAAGCAACTTAAAATATTGGATGAAATCTGGCATCATGGTATTTTTTAATCGTGTCAGAAGCGGCTGTTGTTTTTGAATTTTAATTCATATGTTTATTTTTATTGTATTTAT